CTTATATATCATTCAAATTAGTTCTAATCTTTATTTATGAGTCCCATTTAAGTCTTCAGACGTTCTGAGCAAAAAAAAAAGCTTGACCTTTGACCTTTAACCATGTTTTATTAATGGCAGCTCCTTTTGGCAGGGGAGGTAAATATTGTAAATTTCAAGAACTATTAATCTATTGGAAATGTTTATTGATACTGGGATGCATTGATTGCTCAGACTGGACTAATATTTAGTCTCTCGTTATTTTAAAGACAAATCAATATAATAATTGCAACAAGCAACTTTAGAGTTAAATTCTCAACTATGAAATGTGAATTGGAAGTTTTAAAATTTGACTGCAGAAATTTTAGTTTTCTGTTAATATTTGTTATTCTACAGTAATACATAACAGCTTTTTATGTGATGAATTTTTATTTACATATACTAGGATAAGAATATTTTTCATGTCCATTTAGTGTTATTTTTTTGGTCACTGTGCCAAGAAGGGTGTAATATTCTTTGTCATCTATCTAGCATAAATCATTCTACATTTACAATATACATTTTGTCATTCTGTCAACTATATAAACAATGTAACATTATTTTTATGGCCAATGCTCCTTTTAAAGTAATACTAAGGTATATTATTGTGTTGTTTTTTTTTCTTTACAAAAAAGTGAGATGTTTTATTAACAGCTGTTCTTAATGAATAAATTTTCAATGTTAATTACTTACTGTAAATTAGCATTTTAATTACGTATTTCTAAACAAGAGCCCTTTATATTGTTTAAACCTATTGAATGAAAGTGACTGTATTGACTTAATTTACCTTTATCCTATTGGAAGCTGATTGATTTTGTTCATTAGCTTTGTCCAGCATTGTCCCCCCACCCCCAACCATGAATTGAATTTCATGAATTGAGCTGCAAATAACTGCATAATTTAATCTATTTGATGAAGAAATAAAGAAAATGAGAAGGGCTGGTCCTTTAAGAAGTACTTTAACAAACATACTAGAAGTGTTGTGAAGTGTCACTGGCATCTCAGGAATCCTTGTTCTTGTTACGTACTGTATTAGACATACTATAGTAGACAGTTTTCAATGACTTATTTTAATAGTCATTAATATAATCACAAAATGCTTATTGGAATTTGATTAATAAATCATAAGGTGTTTTAATCTATAGAAGGGTACATATAGATTAGGAAATAGTTCTTTGTACTATCTCCCTTTATGGAGATTTTAATCAAGTAATTATATAATAAACTGCTGGGGCCAAAAGTATAATTCGCCTTTGCCACCATGCATGCCCTTAACTGTTGGCTGAAAAGTTTTACTTTTATCTTCATACATCATGTTCAATAAAAAAGAATGGTGGCAATTGGAAGTCAGATTTATAGCAAAGTGTCACTTTCTGCATCTGACATTGTACAAAGCTGGTCTTTATTGGCCAGGTTTGACTGTACAATTATCAAGATATAAGAAAAGTATTAAAATAATATTGAGTGGAACTGCCCACAATATTCTATATATCTGGTTATATCAAGATGATGTGATTGTATATCTGTAATTATAATCTATTGTGTCTTAATGGTTTGATTTTGGGGTCCTCAGGCTGCAATCAAACCAAATATTGATCCATTATCAACTTATTAACCATTCTCAAATATTTGGGAATTCCTTCGGTCCTGCAAATTCCTTTGTGTTGACCAGGAGAGTAATGTCGACTTATTGATTATTGTAATTTTCATTGGACAATTAAGTTTGGTTTAGATTGGACATTCCCGTTGTTATAATTAAAACTGTAAATACAGGAAAATAATCAGAGGGTTGTATTCTGCTAGTGGAATTGAATTTTCTTGGATGGTAAAATGACATTATCATAGAGGGAATAGGGCAGTACAATATAACATGATGATCGTCTCATGGATTTATCAGTTCTCCAGATTTAAATAGTATATCAATATTCTAACAGTGGTTAAAAGAGGAATGAAGAAGATGCATGGATTAACTTCTTTTAAGAAATTTTCTTTTGTCTGACAAGTTTTTGGGATAATTATAAAATGACAGGTAATTATAGTTTTCAGACTGTTGTGTGTATATTCCCTTGAAAAAGTTGTTTAAATTCAATTTTTGAAAATCAGATTGGGATGTTGATCAGAACAACCTGTTTTCACTGTGATTGATTTTAAACTTTGTGGAATGGAATGTGATTCTGAGTAGTTTTCATCAATGTTTGTAAATTTTAAAACATTACTGTAGCATCAGATATTTACACGAGAATGAAATTAAAAGCAAAAGTTGAATTCTGCAGTTGGTACTTCAAGGTTAAAATTTGTTTCGCAGAATTATGGGAAAGTTAAAATATTCGAATCATTTTAGAAGCTGCTTAATTGCTTTTGGGACACCAGTAGTGCACAGAGGTAACTCAAGGCCATCAGTGATGTTGCACAAAATAAATTGACTTGGAGTTATGCAATTAAATTAAGTTGATATTATCAATTATGAATTAATAAATTGACATAAAAATAATTGTGCTGAAGTAAACTATAACATGTTTTTTGTGAGTGATCTTGTTTTTTATACTAGTGAATTTGGTTTGTAATGTAAGAAGTTTGGTTTGAAAAATATGTAAAATGTAAGTAATCTTGCTTGTTTTTCTAAATGTGTTAGCAGGCAGTCTGGTTTGGTATGTTAAATTGTTGTAAGAAATCTGATTTTGTTATGTAGAATTTGTGTAAGTATTCTGGGTTGTTATGTAAAACGTTTAAGTAAGTAATCTGAATTATCATGTAAAAATAGAAATAAGTATTCTTGCATAGCAGACTGGCGTTTCCGTGAGTTTTACCCATGCCAAAAATTTCATCTGGCATGGGGGGTGCTTAAGCAACGTCATTTTAGCGCACTTTATGAATGAACCACATTAAAATGACGTCATTTTAGAAGGGAAATATGTGCTTAGGATGACGTCATTTCACCGTTGTTATTTAAGTTGTAAGTTCATGTGCTGCATATTGTAAGAAAATAGTTATGGATGAAATGACTTTAATTTCGATGAACAAATTATATCATATTGAGGTAAGGCATTTTAAATATGAAATAACATGGGCGGGTCCCCTCGGGACGGATATTCCGGTCCGAACCGCAACATAATTATGACAGATATTATTTATCCGGTTTGTTATGTAAATGTGTGCATAAGAAATCTGGTTTGTTGTGTAAAATATAAGAAATCTGAATTGTTATGTATAATTTGCTTTAAAGACTTCTAGTTAATTACTGGTATAAGAAATGAAAGTCAAAAATCAGGTTTCTTGATAGCAAAATGTGAGGAAGATATCTTTTGTTTTGTTGGTTATGCAAAGTAGAAATCAGTTATGCATTGTAAGAAATCATTTGTTTTGTGAAGTGTAAAATGAGAAATCTTGGGTCTTTCATGTGAAATGAATATAACAGTTATCTCAAGTCTGTTATTATGTAAATTGTGAAAATGTTGGTGTTATATTGCCATTTTAACACCCAGTGGTAATGACTTATTCAGGTATGCTCTCGATTCCTTGTCACAACTGAGCCTGATTGTTTGTACAATTTGACCACAGACTCTAAGCCTTAAGGCTGCAGGCAGCAACTGTTTCTTTACCCATGTAACCTGAGTGCAGACCAAGAACAGATTGCACTTTCCTACTGCCTGATCATGGTCTGCATTGTTTGCTATGTGGTTAGGTCATATTTTGAAAGTTTACCTAACAATGATGAATGGTTTTGTCCAGATTGAAAGATGGACAAGTCCATTTAAGATATTTAGCATGGTTATGGTTAAATACTGTTGGCTCTTTCAATTTAGTATTTTTTTTCATTTAATCACATCAAGTCAATGCTGGACAGTTTTCAATTTAAAGGTAGATTGATTCCTAAAATTTAAAGTAATTCAACAGCTTTAGAGACTCATAACTTTTATAATAGTTTACTCAGTTATATTGTTGCTACTTTAAAGCATTAATAAATCCTGATCTCTATTTGTGAGATGCCGAGATTGAAGCTTGTTTGAAGAGTATAATTTCCCCTTCATTTGTTATGTTATACAGTACAAGTCAAAAGATTAAAAGAAAACTGAAATAAACAGATTGTTTGGAGTCAGTATTTCAATACTTATAAAGTAATAAAAATTGATTGAGCAATAGAAATATTGGACCGAAATATTTTGTAATTAATATACTGGCTTTCTATTTCAGTCATGCATATTTAATCAATAATCAATATTTATTATTATTATATTCTGATGATTCTACTATGGTGGAAGAGCGAGGGGTGGCAATTGTGTGTGTGTGGTGTGTGGGGGGGGGGGGAGGGGGGGTGCATTATAACAATTTGTGTGTTAATCAAGACATTTTCTTGCAGGGAGGGTTTTCTGACAAGTTTGCCATTAGTATACAGATTATTAAGTTACCAGGACTGTGAGATTTAATCAGGAAATATTGTTTTCTCCCTGTCATTTCAATCATACTTTGTTAGCAGTAATCTGTCATATAAGGCTTCATTTTCCAGCTTACAATATAAAGCTGTGAATTTTCTTGAGCAAGAGGGATGCTTGTCTGTACTCTTCATTTTGGAGGTGGATATAAATTGTATTATAGCCAAGAGATTTTCATTGAATATGATCAAAACCTTTCTTTTTTTTAAAGGAGAATTGACAGGATAACAGTTTTTGAAGTACATTTTAAAGAGAATGTAACTTTAATAAACAAAAAATTCATCAACATTTTCCTCTAGACATTAAGATAAAAAAATTGTTAACATAATTATAGGGAAAAAATATTCAAGTGCTTTTTAAATTAAGATGGACACTCAAAAATTTATGAATTATTCTAATAATTTATGCAATAATTAGTAACTTGATCTTTGACAGGAAAAATAATATTTTTTTCCAAATTGGATTATTTACTCAGAAACTGCTTTCTTCTCAAAACTTCTCCTATGATAAGTTTCTTGTGTTGTTCTAACCTTTTGATTTTTGCTTAATTAAACATATTAATTCTATTTTCAGGATGTCTCCAGGGATAAATGAAAGTTAATCCAGATTTATCTTCTGAGATGAATACCAAATGTCACAGATTCAGAAACTTCCAGGAAAACAGAATCCAAAAGAAAATAAACGGAGAAAAAAAAAATTTCATATTGATTTAGAAAAACAAAAAATAAAAGGATAAAAAACATTATTGCAAAACATGATGGTATGATAAAGGACATTAAGGATGTACTTGTGAAATCAAAATAAAAGGACAAGATTATGAGACATGATGAACAATGAAAAATGGCTTGGTATTTGATATCCAATATTGATAGTGCTTGGAGAACTTATTGGGGAAAAAAATTTGATAATAGATATTAAAGCATCAGGATGAAATTCAAACATAAGCTGGAGCGGACACTTTCCCTCCGCTTTTCTGCAGACAAGCAGAAAAAATCATGTAACCCAGGAAACAATTTGAATCACACGCTATCTGGAAATTTGATGAATTCCAAGGATAAAGTAGATTCTGAATTGAGCACGGAAAATTTGAGTTATTGCAATAAAGCCAAGACAAATAGTTTATTATTTCATGAAGGAAATAAAATCCATGACATAAACTGCCATTTAAAGACAGACACAAAAAACTGTCACAGCCTTGATTCTGGATTTTCTGATAAAGATGGGAAAAACAATCTGTTGCTTGGCAGATCAGAATCAGACTCTCTTTATATGGACAGTTTACATTGGAATCATACTAAGACAGAAAAAAGATGGAAAAAACAAAATATTTTTACAAGGAATTTTTCCAAGACAAGGAGAAAAGCAGGATTAGTGAAAAGGATTTCTAATTCAAAAACTGTTTCCAAAAAGTCCAATATTACTTTGTCTGCAAATTTAAAATCGCATATTATGGCAAGTATTGCAGAAAACACTTGTGTCGACATTTCAAAACTTAGTCAAGAAAAAGCTATAAAATTGAAAGAAAATATTAAGCGCTGTGCAGGAGAATGGGAAAATATTAAGCGCTGTGCAGGAGAATGGGAGCAGAACACAGACGGTTCAAAGAATGTTAATGGAACATTGGAATTAAAATTGAGATTAGAGAACAAAAATAGCAAGGAGCTTAAGCTACAAGTGCCAAATACTGAAACAAAAGAATCTGAACATGAAAATCTCTCGTTAAGATTAAGTAAAGACTTGTCTCCTACTTGTGCTGATATGTACGGCACGGATGAAGTAGATAATGTTTCATTTAATAAAATATTAATTGAGGGCAACACCATTAATGCCATAAGCTCAAAGTCAAGTACAAGTGGCATTGCAAAGTATATCGATAAACAGAGTTCTTCAGAAATAAACAAAAAAATTGAAAGTAGAGTGTCTTCCTGGTATAATGATTATCAAGGTGCCATGATTGTTGATAATAAAATTCCTGATTTAGAATATGACCAGGATAATTCAAATGTAGATACAAGTAAAGTTCTTGAAAACAGTGCAAAGGTTTATAAACATGACAAAGTAGTGTCTAACAAATATAAAGACTTATCTAAAGTTTGTAGCTTTAGAATGGTACCCAATGAGTCACATGGCTCCAAGAATGGGTGTCGGGATAATTTTGAAAATCCCTGGGTTCTACAGGATGGCTCTCAAAGAATGTCAGACATGTCTGAAAGTCTTACAAATAATGAAGTTGAAAGATCACTAGGGTTTGAAGTGAGTGATACAAAAACAAACAATTTAAATGCATGTGAAAGAAAATTAGTCAGAACTAACAGTGCAGACTCTGTGGACTCCTTTGGTTCAAGCTATCATTCAGTGACTTCTGTAAAAGATTTATATTTCTCTGACTCAGAAGCTGAACATAACATTGGAAATATATCTGATGACTCGATAGAATGTGCAGAAGGGTTAGTTATGTCTAAAAGTGATGATATCCCAAGTAAGGAACTTTCTAACTTAGATACTGAAGCAGTTACTGATTCAGATAAAGCATCAAACTGTGTAACTAAAAGTCACAAAGGAAATGAGAGACCTAACAGTATGGGCCAGTTTTACAAGAACAGTGAACATATACATTCTTATAGTAAGAAAAGTGACTCAGATTCTGATGAAAAGCAAATGATTCCATATGCTTTAGCAGAGAAATTTAATGGCAGTATTACAACTAGAAAGAAGAAAAAGAAACCACATAGTAGATCTTTTGACGAGAAACTAGATAAAACAGTCCATCTTAGCCCTGAAAGATCATCCAGTGGTAAAAAAACTAATTTGATGAAGTCTTTGTCACTTGGCTTAACAACTGAAAATGAAGGTAAAAAAGTTGAGAAAGCGAATCATTATCGAAGATCGCTAGATTCTAGTCTAGTTCAAAGAAATATTTTAAATGAACTTCAATCAGCTGAGAAAAGAGAATTTGTATCCACTGACTCAAATGAATTCCTTTCACCAGTACCAGAATCACATAGTAAAACTTCACCAAATGAAAAAACTGATTTCAAAGAGACTGATAAGAATCTTGACCCAACACGATTTTTCACTCTGCCAAACCCCAAAAAACTGAAGGCACAGCAGCAGAACCTAAAAAAGAAACTTGGCAGACTAGGAAGTGTATCTAAACTGCTCAGTGACAAAGCTACCTCTTTGTCTACTTTGAAGATGGGAGCATCCTTTAAGCTCAGAAAGGAATTAGAAAAGTCTAAAGAATTGGTTTCCTCCTCAGCATCATCCTTTTCTGATTTAATGTCAAAGAAAGCTTCCAGTTTTTCTACATTAATCAGAAGGAGAACAAACTCAAACACTGCGGTTGAAAGTCCGTTTAAACAATATACAAAGAAAGTGAAAAAAGTTAAAGACGAAAATGCATCAGAGCTTGTTTATGAAAAAGTAAGGGTGAGAGTACCTACTAAACGTCCAGTTACTGCCCTTGAACAAACAGCAAGGACAAAAAGATTGAGAGTTAATCTAAGACTTGCCAAGGCTGCTTGTAAAAGTGAGTCAGAGAAGTATGACATGGATTCAAAGTCAAGATCAAGTAGTTTCGTAGGACGACCCTGGAATTCAACATCAATCAGCCCTCTTAAAAGTCCAACCTTGTTGGATGAAATAATGAAATCTGTTGATACTGCAGGGGTAAGAAAACAATGTAGTGTCAGCAATGATGATCTGGATGTGTCAGATTATGGGGAAAGTTCCAGTGGAAGTTCCATATTTTTGTTTCAGAAACAATACAGTTTGGATTCTGATACCAATTTGGCTAAAGACTTAACATTACTGGCAGTATGTAGAATTTGTGGGAGAGTACAAAGTTGGTCAGATAAAAACTCATCAGAATCATTGATAAAGAGAAATTCTGGTTCATTTCGATTTTCACTTAGCTTGTGTGATTTGAGTTCTACTTGCCAATGTTTGACAAGAGGTAAAAGTTACAAAGATAGGTATGGTGTGATTTTGCCTGCTACAGATGAAAAATGCACATTTAATCAGAATGCCAAACGAAAGTCATGGGTTATTATGTCAGATTGTAAAAGTAGTGTTACTGATGAGATAAAAGGTGGGAACATTTTGTCTCATGGAAAAATGTTTTCACCAAGCTGTCAGAGGCCTTCTTCCATGCATGATCTGAGACACAATCTTGAAGACACTAAAGAGGAGAAAGTAGAATTTGAAGTGGGGGATGCAATAAGTTGTGAAAGTATGGATGCTTCAAATGCTTTGCCAGGAACCTTGCTTAGACATAAACCTTTACTTGATTTAAGTGGTGAAAACTTGGATGAAACTATAGATTCACAGGACGATGTTGTAAATGAGACAGATGAACAGTATGCAAAGAAAAGCCAGTCTTGTGGTGACTTACTAGAATCAGGAATATATTCAAGTCAGTTAACAAAAAGCGATCTGGTTAAGATTGAAATTAAGAATGAAAAAGATGAAGATGCAGAAAGTTTTCATTCTTGTTCAGAAACTGCTGAGACAGATTTTGTATTTGAGAATGATAACACTGATAAACTGAAATCTCACTCTTGTGGTAACCTGCTTGATGCCAATGAAGTTAATCTTGGTGACAACTTAAAACTAGAGGAACAGAGAAAGAAGGAATTGAGGAAAGTTAAGGTCAAGTCAATGTCAAGTTCCCATGATGCATTGAGTGACCTTGTTGCCATGGAAACTATTAATATTGATGACGTGGATGGTATCTTGGGTAAAGGATTTGAGTGTAATAAAACATCTGAGAATCAGGAAAATGGACAATCAGTTGTTAATAATATAATTGGATTGACCCAAAATGATTTAGATACTGAAAACAAAATAAAAACAGATGACCAGTGGACCATTTCTAACAGTGAGTATGAAATTGAAACTAATACTCTCATGCCAAGAGATGATGGAGAAGACAAAGAAAATAATAAATGTGAAAGATGTAATGGCTTGCGATATGAGTTAGCTGACTCAAAGTCTGCTCTTAAATCCAGATTAAATTCATCTGTTGATGAAAGTGATATGAAAGTTATTTCAAAACCTCCGATACCTCGTAAAAGACGTCAAGCGAAAGTTCTTTCTCTTTGTGACATTTCAAACCAAGACAATGACAACTACAAAGAGTTTAGAAGGCAAAAAGTACTCTCCATGGTCGAATTGCATGAAGAACGGAAGAGTACTTGTTCATGTAACTTAAACTTTAAAAATGACAATGAAACAATGAAAAATTTGTCTAAAACTGAGAAAGAAAAACTAAGATCAGGCAATAATGCAACACCAAAAATAAGTGCAAGAAGAACATCTGTACGAAAGTTTTTATTTGATGACCATCAAATTCAGAGCTATATTAAAACTGTTTCTAAATTTGACAGACAAAAATCTATATCAAGTGATAATCTTTTAAGTGGATCTGTAGAAAGTCCACAGCAAACTGGTCCTGAAAAATTACATTCCGCGTGTTCTTTAAATCGCTTATCACGAGATTCATGTTCGGATGAAGTATTTAATAGACTTACCTTCCCTTTAGTTCCAGAGTTATCCCCATATGTAGAATTTTTTGAGTCAACCCCTGTAAAGGGTTTTTCAAGACTTTCAGGTCCAAGGATTTCTTCCCCTGGATTGTTACCAGAATTGCCAGATCTGCCTTCCCTGACTGAAGAATGTGTAAATAGATATGATGTTTGTCTAGGGTATTTGTTACATTCAGTACAATGTGATAATAAGATGATTTGTGTGTATTCATTACAGAGGAACAAGCAGTTGATGGAATCAGTCATTACTCCATTGAACGCTTCTCCACATAGTAAGTTTTGTTATTGATGAAAAATTTAACTTTTACTCTTGCCCTGTATTCACAAAGCTTGAATCAGAATCAGGATCAAATGATCCAAATTTTGTTGTCTAAAATGCTGTATCAAAGTAGTGTTATTATGAATATCAAACTAATATAATACAGTTTAGTACATGATAACTATTCAGAATGTTATATTTTTTTACAATGTCGAACCAGCCGCTTTGGAATAAGATTATAATTATTATAACTTGATACATGTATATAGTTAGTTATAAAGCTTTTTGACAGGTTATATGGCCCTATATAAATGGTTGTTTGGAAATATAACACAAGTGGCTAGGTTAGGGTTATATTGCAATCAACCATTTATGTACAGTCATATAATAACCTGTCAAGAATATTTATAACAAATTTATTAAACAGTAAACTTCTATTTTTGAGAAAAAAGTGAGATTTCTTCATAATTTGTCAGTAGCCGTGTATATAAAACTACATGTATATAAACGTCACAATTTCCAAATGAAATGTGATGTAACAAACGTGCAGTATTTTAAGTTTCAAACTGTATAGATAATAAAAGCGAATGTTTTGAAAGGTTTTGTTAAATTTTCACAACTTCCAATTTTTTTACCATGCTAAATTTCTCAAGTTTGAAAACCAGCATAATAATATTCTGCTATTTTGTTGGTGGGAAAAGTGAAAACAAAACACTGGGGTCTCAGTAAATCACATTATAAACCAAAAATTCAATCATTTAAATTTTATTAATATAATGTGGTTTACAAACAAGAACTAGTTAATTTAATACATACTGTTTGATTTCTTTGAACCTAAAAAAGATTCCAGGTGACTTAAAATGAATTACATGTCATGAATGTTATTCAGTTAAATAAAAACGTATACTCTTAACACAATTATTTGATATGGTAATTACAGTATTATCTGTTATAATTATTATCAAGTAAGTGGTTTTATTTCAGCTCCAAGTAGAAAGTCACATGAACATGGAAGTGCTAATAAAAACAAAGCTCATTATAAAACCAAGCTTGATGAATTCCCAAACCCTGCTGCTCCAATCACTAATGTAAGATCTCTGTCATAATTTGTTTCTCTAGTTATAAAAATGTCATACTGTATCAAAATAACTTCATTATTTCAGCTGATTGAACATGATATGTGGACATGTTTTGAACCAAATTTGCAATTTCTGCACAAGCTTTGATGTCCTTGTTTCATAAATGAAATTACAATTCATTGATTTTTACTATTTACAATTTAAATTCATAATTGTTCAGCCAGGCAGAAGTGGATTTTATGAGCAAATGATAAATTTATTGATATGTTGTTTAAAAGATGTCCAGCACTGATGTTTTCTTTAATTCTTGAGTATGTTGTGGATTATTGGCATGCAGATTTTTCTAGTTAAAGGGACACCACTGAGGGTTTTTTGACAAATATATGAGTGGACATGAAGTTTTTTTTCCAGATTTTCATACAGTTTAATGAATTTTTAGCCAATAACTTGTGTGTAAAAGTTCAATCAACTGCATGTTCTATTTTTCCTGAATAATCATTTTTATTGTGCAGAATGACCTAGATATAAAAATAAAATGCATTTAAAGCTTTTATTAACCAGGTTTTCCGAAGGAAAAAACTGGTTATTAGATTGAGGTATGTCGGCGGGCGGATGGGCGGGCGGGCGGGCGGCGTAAACAATTTCTTCTGTGCGCAACTCCTCCTACATTTCTCAACGGATTTTGACCAAACTTTCACAGAAGCTTTGTCATCAAGTGCCCTGGCGCATATTGTCGGGGTTTTGCGATTAGATAATATTTGACCTAATTATGGCCCTTTGTTTTTTTTCCTTATATAAAATATATAGTGAACAATTTCTTCTGTGCGCAACTCCTCCTACATTTCTCAACGGATTTTGACCAAACTTTCTCAGAAGCTTTGTCATCAAGTGCCCTGTCACATATTTCCAGGGTTTTGCAATTGGTATATATTTGACCTAATTATGGCCCTTTGTTTTTTTTCCTTATATAGAATATATAGTGAACAATTTCTTCTGTGCGCAACTCCTCCTACATTTCTCAACGGATTTTGACCAAACTTTCACAGAAGCTTTGTCATCAAGTGCCCTGGCGCATATTGTCGGGGTTTTGCGATTAGATAATATTTGACCTAATTATGGCCCTTTGTTTTTTTTCCTTATATAAAATATATAGTGAACAATTTCTTCTGTGCGCAACTCCTCCTACATTTCTCAACGGATTTTGACCAAACTTTCTCAGAAGCTTTGTCATCAAGTGCCCTGTCACATATTTCCAGGGTTTTGCAATTGGTATATATTTGACCTAATTATGGCCCTTTGTTTTTTTTCCTTATATAGAATATATAGTGAACAATTTCTTCTGTGCGCAACTCCTCCTACATTTCTCAACGGATTTTGACAAAACTTTCTTAGAAGCTTTGTTATCAAGTGCCTGGCACATATTGTCGGGGTTTTGTGATGGGATAATATTTGACCGAATTATGGCCCTTTGTATATTTTTTCCTTATACAGAATATATAGAGAACAATTTCTTCTGTGCTCAACTCCTCATACATTTCTCAACGGATTTTGACCAAACTTTCTTAGAAGCTTTGTTATCAAGTGCCTGGCACATATTGTCGGGGTTTTGTGATTGGATAATATTTGACCGAATTATGGCCCTTTGTATATTTTTTCCTTATACAGAATATATAGTGAACAATTTCTACAGTGCGCAACTTCTCCTACATTTCTCAATGGATTTTGACCAAACTTTCACAGAAGCTTTGTCATCAAGTGCCCTGGCGCTCACTAAATTCCCATGTTTCTTCCAAGACATCATTCAAGTATTTTTTTAAAATTGTGAACATACTTTTCTTGATATCGCACAAAACACCACACGCCAATATTGTTGACAAAAGAAAATGACAAGAGACGCAAAAATGCAAAAATTAAGCAAAAATAAAGTACTGTTTACCTTTCTAAAATATTTAGGAAAAAAAGGCGAATAGACAACATAAAATTTCTCAATCATTTTTGTTTGAGGAATATTAAAAAAGCCATAATTCCTCCTAAAAGTTCAATTAAAAACAAATGCCCCTTCATGACAAAGCTTCTGTGAAATATTTTGCTGAAAACCTGGTTGCATCGCATTGCGATGTTCCTTGTTTCCTAAGATCCAACATCAGTATTTGTAAAAATCCTTTGTCTGTTTCCCATAATTTTCTGTTTTAAGGGTTCCAGTTGACCTTTGAAAAGATTTTCGGATTTTATGTTTTTCAGACTTTTAGACCTCCATGAGTTCATTGAATCTGACTTAACCTATATTACTGCATACTGTGATGTTTTTATACAACATGACACTGAAAATTAAGATTTATTATGTAAATATTCTTTCAGATGAGATTTAAAAAAGCAAGTGAAGAAAAGGTATTCTGTATAAAAATATTTTACATTGTCAGGTGCCTTCAGACAGGTTAGCTCGTGCAGGTATTGTTCTTCGGACAGTCTTACTGGCTCGAGCTCCTCACATGATCAGAGATCGCAAATTTCATTTACGTACATATCGACGATGTATGGTTGGTACAGAAATGGTGGACTGGTTGTTACAGCAGAGTACATTAGTACATTCTCGGACTCAGGCTGTGGGCATGTGGCAGGCACTGGTAGAAGAGGGAGTAGTTGTTCATGGTATATGATACAATAATAATACTAAAATACTCTATGCTCATTGTGATTAAAGGCACATAAAGCTTCAGAAATTAGTATTTCATCTTTCTGTAGAAACATGTTATATATTTCCGTAATAATGGCTTTAGAAAATGTAAGATGCTTATCACAATTGAGAAAAAGTGCTGAGTGTGAAATATTTTTGATAATGGTATTAAAATAAAGAAAACACTGTATTGTAAGACCTGTACTGCCAAAATAAAAGAAAGAAACAAATGATGGCTTAGCTATATTGCCATGCAATGGGTAACCTTTCAAAACTTTATTGTTGTAGGAAATAAAAAAAAAAGTTTTAGAACAAAAACAACATTAGAATTACAAGGCTTAACGGTCCTTTTAAATCTTTTCAGAAGTTATATTGAATTATTTGAGATATATTTTACAATATTCTATAATCGAAATTTGTCGTAATATTGAATAAATGATGGATATGACAATGCTACCACTTCAGTATGTCACGAGCACCAGTTTAAGGACAAGTACCTGTTTTACCGTTTCCACGAGGATGATGAAGGTGTGAGTACGGTTCCGAGCAGCGCCACAAAACGAGAATGTGAAGAGGATTTACCAGACGTGTTTCTAATGTTGGCGCATATTGGACCGGACGCAATGATGAGAATGATTCTAAGGAAACCGTAAGATAACCCTTAAATTATTTAATGTTTCGGAAACCGTAAGACAACTTTTGATCATACTATTTTACTGAAACTGAACATAACTCTCAATCATTTTGTTTTTCATAAGTATTGATCTTACTTACAGCTATCTGAAATTTATGAAGATTTTTCAGGCAAAGAAAATGACAGAGAAATTGCATGTGTAAATTTTTTATTGTTTGCATTGAGTATTACTAGAAACATAGAATGGTGACATCAAAGGCTGTGTTTTTGTCTTTGAATTACCAAGTCAAATTAACACACATTAGAAAATGAAAGCTTTACAATAACAGATATCTCCTTACATGTTATAATTACAGTGATTTGCATTTCTGATCTTTAAGTATTTGAAGAAACAACAAGTTGTTTTTTAGGTTTGCATGATTAACATATTATTTTAATGTTGCATTTTTTCCCCCTGAAGATTTAAAAGAGACTTGATTGAAAGGTTCCTGCTTTTTGAAGTTGACCTTTAAAGCAGAACACTTCTTTGTTTTAGGTTAGAAAAAAAGAAATTCATTTTAAAAAATTATTTTAAGAAGGGGCTTTAAATTTTTGAAAAAATTTACATAATTTTTTACATTTTGAAAAAAAAAGAATTTTGTGTTTTTTTCTTTAAATTCAGTTAAATTGCAAATTTTTCTCAGGTAAATAATGTAAGTTCTAGAAATTGGGATATAAAAATGAAAAAATGAACAAATAACAATTTCAAAAAATAATTTTTTTTTGTAAGAAATAGTGTTTTTACGTAAAAAAACTGTTTTTTCTTGTCCCTTCCCCTTTATAACATTTTTTGTTAAGATAAGAAAAGATGCTTATAAATGTCTGAAAATTTGTAGTGATCCTGTATACATGTACATATTAAAGATTCTAGTGGGTTTTTAGCTTGACTATAATGAATATGGAGATATTCTGCAACCCAAGGCATTGGAATATCACTTGATTAAAGAACTACTTGCAACATAATAATCTCATTAAACAGTTCAAGTATTTATTTAAAATATTACACATAACTGCAGGATTATAATTGTAGGCCCCTTCAAAGACCCATAACTCTTGACCAGATTTTTACTGAATTATTCCCCTTTGTGTTCTACAAAATTTCCTGCATGACTTTTGTTTTATTATCAAGCAGTAAAAACGGTCAAGTGATATGTTTGTCAGACAGGTCTTGTTTTATTTCAGACCTCATGAAAGGACATCAGAAGATTTAGAGATAATTTACGAGGAATTATTGCATATCAAGGCACTGTCACACCTTTCTACAATGGTGAAGAGAGAACTTGCAAGTGTACTACTGTTTGAGTCCCACGCTAAATCAGGCACTGTCTGTAAGTACGATGGTTTAATACATTTACACACCAAATTTTTCAAGGATAGAACTGTTCAATACAAGCAGGGATACAACATAGTTTAAAGTCATGAAAGAAAAAAAGTGATAGGATCAAATAGTAAAAAAATGGGGTATTATTATATTGCTATTTTTTTTTTACTTTTAAAGAAAGTTCTTATTTACTGATACTGATTAACCATACTTTTGTATATACCTTGTTCACAATAAGTGAAACAAAACCTGTAGAATTAAATTAGATGAATTGCAATGGAGCATCTAACTATTAGAGTGAACATTATGGTAAAACTATGGACTTTCCTTCAGAAAAAGTCGCAAAATTATGAACTTTCCTTCAGAATAAATACATTCATTTTATAGTTTTATAGTTGTTTCGATCAAGGTCTAGGCTATAGAAAATATTATCTCTTTTTTTTCTCTGAATAAGGCAATGTTTTTAGTATTGTCATGGCACAACTTTTGGAGCATTTATCAATGTTACCTCATTTATTTTCATAATCTGAACATATTTAACTTGCAGTGTTCAATCAAGGTGATGAGGGAAAATCTTGGTATATTATACTGAAGGGATCTGTGAATGTGGTTATATACGGAAAGGTAAATTCTCAGATATTTTTTATTTGTTTTGCTTTCATAATTTGCATTTTAATGAAACTTTAATATTTAATGATAAAATTTCTATCAGATTTTGAATATTTAAGTTTTGTTTAATAATTTAATGTCTCTTGAGAGCAAATTGTTGATTGTGTCATGTGGTAAAGTATGGTTTGATAATAATGATATATTGCCTCATTTACGGTTTAAGTTAAAGGCACATTACTTAAGAAATTTATACATGTTCGCATCTGAAGAAAAGGAAAACATGTGTTTAATTGTGTTGTCATGACGGATTAACAACATATTAAATGTGAGTCACTTTATGAAAATAGGGCCGAATATGAAATTATATTTCGCAGAAAAGTAAATTAGCAAATTAGTAGATTCTATATTGATAAGCGTACAAAATAAGATTTTAGTAACAAAAAACATTTCAATTGCCTAGACTTAAAGGATAGTTTAGCTATGTGGTAGATGAGTGTTATATTTTTGTAGTTGTAACAGCGGACACCAAAAATAAAATCTCTTTCAAGAAATAAACTACATATCATTTTTGAGGCTTAAATTGGGCCCTTAAGCATCTCAGTATTTAATCTTTCTCCACTCTATATTCTTCTTGTTTGACAAAACCATTTTATGGTTAGTAAGTAGTATCATTAGCTTATTTTATCCTGATTGTCTTAAATTGTTTTAATTTGATTATATATGTTACTTGTATTATCTGTACAGGGAGTTGTATGTACCCTGCATGAAGGAGATGACTTTGGTAAACTAGCTCTAGTTAACGATGCACCAAGGGCAGCAACTATTGTATTAAGGGACGATAACTGTCATTTCCTTAGAGTTGACAAGGACGATTTCAATAGAATTCTTAGAGTAAGTGGTCTGTTATTGATTTATTTAATTTATTAAACTATTATTCACTCTTATGTGACAGAATGGTTAAGGTCACTGACTTAAAACCAATTGTCTTTCTCTCTGACGATGGGTTATATATATAACTCTGCACAGCACTTTGGAAAATTTTATATTAGGAAGCTGTCAAGGTGGCTTATGGAAGGTTGGTGGTTCTACTCTGTTCCCATTTAATTAGAGATGATTCATGGACATGCTACATGTACTGGGATCTTCCTTCACCAATACAGTTCTACAAAAAAAAGAAAAAGAATGTTTAAGTGCTGTCCCATATTACACCATCAGTATTAAGGCATAACGTAACTATATTTATCCCTGCAGCATAACCAGACTATATATTATTCACTGCACAGTTTGATATTATGAATTAAACCTATAAACAATTTTAAATTTAAAGCAAGTCAGTTCCATTGCCAAAATTTGTCACTTTACAGTGAATGTGTTATAGGTTTTTCAATATAATATATTTTTTTTGCTTGTTCCACTGTTTTCTTTAAGGATGAAAATAGACATCCAGACTGACAGTAATTGATTAACTAGCACAATAGCTAGAATTTCTCTTTGGTATAATTGAATTTGTAACTGAATACAGATACATTCTTTTCTGAACATAAATAGATTCAGCCACTAAAAAATATATATATTTTGGGGTTGATCGTCATACTTGTATGGATTATCTTGTTTTTCTATAAAAGATTAAAGAAATCTTTCAAATTATTATAATAATGTTAAATCTTGAAAAAAGAAATGTTTGAATGTATGTATGTACAGACAATGTAGATAGTTTTGTCTTACTGTATTTATTTCCTTGATAATTATATTTTTATGGTGACTCAAAATTTATTTTTTATGGTGACCGTATGGTCAAAGTGAGTGCACATTTCTATGGTAACTATATTACTAATACATTTATGACAACTTCATTTTTTTTATGATTACTTAACAGTAATTATATTATGGATGAGGTGCTTTTATTTTTATGACAGTTGTATTTTCTGTTTTGACAACAGGATGTAGAGGCCAACACTGTAAGGTTAAAGGAACACGGCCAGGACGTGTTGGTACTGGAGAAGATTCCGTCAAATACACACACTGCCGACGGCTCGGTACAGGCTCACTATAAGTATGTTCTATTCTGTTCTATAAAAGTCTAAATTGACATAATGATATGTTTTGCCTATAATTTAATCTTTTTGATGCCACTGTATATCTAAAACTCATTTAAAACGTGTTATTTGCTTATGACTTAGGAATAGGAACCAAACCCCACAAAAAGCTTTATTTGTTTCTATATATCAACACTCCATTATATAATACCACTTGATTGTGATTAAGAAACATTTCAAGGGAGATGGAAGAGAATATTGGCTCAGGGCTTGTAGGTTTGAGCTCTAGTCACATCCATGTTTCCTTTTATGAAACAAGTACTGGTTAATTCAAGGATGTATATTCGAGAATGGCTGAAATGAGCAACAAGTTCATGATAAAGTATATATTAATAAATAATATTTAAACTACACTCAATTATTTTTATTTGACACAATTTAAAAATGCATATATAATGAAATTAGGTAATATAAAGAATAATATAACACCACAATTAGGGTCACTTGAAGGTGCTGAACGAGAATAGCTCAAATATGCTACATGTTGTATTAATTAAAATTGTTCAAACTATGAAACTGAACTTCTTTTTGAATTTGACTCAAAAATTAGAATGCAATTAAAATAATTTTGGTAGCTTTGAATAATATAATACAAAATCATACTTTTGGTCTCTATGGAATATGTGAAGTGATATTTTGTATGTTTTTCGAACAATCAAAGAACTATATGAGATGTTTCATTATGTTTCAGATATTCAGTTATGGCAGGGACACCTGAGAAAATGTTAGAACATCTGTTAGACAGTAGATTAGACAATAAAAACGAGACAGAAATTGGTAAGCCTTTTATGCTTTTTGTGTTTTGGTTATCTTGATTAAAACCACAGCATATTAGCGACAGGTGGTAATTTATATTTTCAGACAATATGATTAATGTAGAAGTTTCATTTTGAATACTCTGATTGTGTCCTGGATTTTTAATTTATCTTTGTGGTTATTTATATATACAGATTTTAATTTTGAATATAAGACAAGTGCATTATACAGATTTGGCAGGGTAGGGGTTAAAGATACAATTATGCCATCATTTAGTCAAGCATGTTGTTAAACTCCTGGATGATGATGATCTATGTACAGGAACGTAATTTGATAAATTCCTTTATCCAAAATGCTACTGTCAATATTTTATGATTTCAGATGGATTTCTAGAGGATTTCCTGCTAACACATGTGATTTTTATGCCATGTAATCATCTATGTCCAGTCTTGTTATCACAATATCCTTTTTGTTGTGTAAAATATTATAATCATCATTGACAAATCTTATATCAAAATGTCAGGCTCTCCATTATCCTTGTGTATGCTAGTACAGCATGTAAATAATATATCAAGCTAAGTGCTGCTTTAATAATAGAGACATTAATGTTTGAACATATGTTGAAGTAAAAGGGACATGTATTTTTATTCAGGCAACAAATGAAGTAAATTTTATCAGTGTGTTAATGCACTTGTAACTTGAAGCAAGCTTCAGCAGTGTGATTAAAATAGCAAATTAAATTATTAAAAAATCTCATGACCTATCTTGACTTTTAATTGTCACATGACCTACATAGGGATGGGTTGACAAATTGCATTAAGTTTTGACATATATATACTATCCTTAACCTGTATTTACCTATCACTCATCCACAGCAGACACAACAGAACAAGAAGGGTTTGAGTTCATGTTGAACCATAAAAAATGTGTACTACATTTTGTACAGGAATGGGCCAATATTGTAGGGATGGCGTTCAAAGAGGACCATACCATCCATGCTTTTCTAGAAGTAAGCAGTCAGTGTTAATGTTTCCCTAAATTTGCACTTAATTTCTGTAACACCTGCAATGATTTCTGATTTTTAATTCTTTATTTTTAGACATGTGCAGTAACATATTGCACAAGAAATGTATTTTGATCAGAGATTTTAAAACGATGTAATTTATGAAGTTTAAAGACACATTCCTCCTCAGAAATTTTTGAAATTGTTCTTTATGCAGAGAGGACAAACATGTGTTTTATAAAATTGTAATAATGGTTTAAGAACATGTGAAATGCTTATTGTTTGAAGAAATAACACTGAATGTAAAATTGTTTGCATCAAAGGTAGCAAAATGAAAACAAAGAAGTATTTCAACTTCCTTACAAAACACAAAATTACTGTTACTGTACTAATTGCTGAAACATAAAGGAAGCAAAAGATTCCTCTACTATATGGTCATCAAGTAACCTTTTGAAAACTGTAACAGGACACCAAAATTAAATAGCTTTCAAAAATAAATTTATTAGCATATTTATACTAAATGCGCCTTTAAAGTCAAGCCCTAGACTAACGGAGTAACAGAAATAGGGAAGACTAAAAGCTAATCACTTATATATATTCTACCATCATGATTTAAATTTACTTTTCCAGGAGCTAACCAGCTGTGTTCAAGATGATCTTGAAGACTACCCAACATTGAAAGATGACTTAGTTGCCATGGAAACCATTCTCAATACAAATTTTGGGTATTTATAGCAATCTTAGATTATAGTCATATTGCAGAGTGGCTAAAGATAGTTTCAGTACATGAGTTCAAGCTTTGTTTTACATTCACTTGTATTATTTAAAGTTTAACATGTTTGAAAAGTTTTGCATTATATGAACATACCTTTTAAACATTACATTTTTGCCAAATTTTAAAAATTGACATGTCTAATCTTCTTTCGTTGGAACTGTCTGTGATCAGTTTTAGAGATAACAAACATAAGTAAGCGGATATCGTGACTTCGCATCCACTGAATGAATGGTCTTGGCTTTATTTAAGTAATGTTACTGTTTATATAAATGAGCATAGGTGTCCTTTTTAAAACAAATATAGAATTTTAAGATGTGAACCAAATATATTTCTAATGGGCACTGTTATGTTATTTGCTTAATTTTCAAAAAGTTCAGTTTTGAATCCACATCTGAAGCTTAAAAGTTCCATCATCTGCAGTTTGTTATTGTAGATAATTATGTTTTAGGTCTCCAGGTAATAAACAGAAGAAAAGAATGTCAGGAACTTTCACATTTTCCAGAAAACATTCCAAAGACTGTTACCAGGATTTCCCAAGAAAGAGGAAACCTATCTGTCCTTCCGATGAGAGTAAGTAGAAGGAATGTAAAGGTTATGGTAGACTGGCCACCTATAATAAAACAATTTTATATTTTGCTGTGTCTATGCTGGCTGAATGACTTAAAGGTTCATATCATTTTTTAAAACAATCCTGAATGAATAAAAAAGATATGCATGAAAATTCTACATGAAAGGCAACAAATAAAAGCAAAAAAATGAGGAACCACTACCTTGACCCTGAGTGACATTCAAGATGGAAAGGTCAAATTTTCAGGCACCAATACTTTGTTATGTTGTATATTATCAAATCAGGATCAGAATTAACTTTGCAAGTCTTAGTCTTCTTGGTGTATTGTTTTGATATAACTTGAGAGGTCTTGTAGAAATACAGTTGAATAGCCCATATACCTAGATTTTCATGTGCAACATGATTTCTGCTCATTTGTTTTCCAGCCATTTTAAGCTATGCTTTAGTAACCTAGGGTTTTCGAGGTTAATTGCTCTGATCCTATCAATATTACAAGTTCAAATACTCTCTGTTAATTTTTCAGCCATTAAAATGTATATTATGTTGACAAAACCTAATTAATTATGTTTAAATGACCTTCGTTTATTTTGCAGCCATTTTCAAGGTATACTGTGCTGACCATACCTACAGTACTCTAAAGTTACCCATGGATACCAAGGTAGAACAACTGTTACTATCAACTAAGGAAAAGCTTGGTCTTGGTGATGACCTCATTTTATGTGAGGTCAAATCAACTGGAGGTAACTTTAACATTCTGTTGATGCATTTTAGGTGTGCTTTATGAGCAGATATAGAAATAAATGGTCTCTGAGAACAAACCTTTCATTTTGAAAATAATGTTTTATAATGTACATTATTGATCAGCTAATTTTATGAATTTCTTAATGGCTGCTAAGTCTGCCTTATAAACAACAACAAATTGCAATGTTTACTATTTTTTCTGTATAATTATACACAAAATGCTTGTTTTCATAATGAATGAAATATTAAAAGATGTTGCAATGGCTGCCCTTGACCCTTTCATCGATGATAAGTACAATAAAGTTATGCATCAAAACTGTATCAAAAGTGGTATTAATCAGCTTTTACAATGTCTGCTGAGTTAATAAAGTAGAAAGTCATTAAAATTCATAATCAAAGGGGAGGGGTAGAGGAGGTAGAGGTAAATTATTGATAATCTGCTGACTCATCATTTATCATGTCCAGTTAACCAATAATTCATCATGTATTATCATTGTGTTGATATGTTATTGTATGATATATTTACAGAGAGACTGATATTTTATTATCATTGATATGTTATGTTATTGTATGATATATTTACAGAGAGACTGATATTTAAGGAGAATGACTTGTGTGTGACTACAGGTCTCAGTATCAATGGCCAACTTTTTGTTACACCAAAGGAACATCTAGATGCTCTGGTAAGATTTATGGGATTTGGTGACAAAATCACCAAACCAATGAAAGCTCTTGTCAATGATTTTAAGAAAGTAATGAAAAAAAATAGTATAATCCTTTAAAACCTATTCCTTGTAACTTGTAATGCATATTACTACTCCTTACCTTAAATAAAGACTTATGGTGTTCTTAGATTCACATTATATGCAGTCTATTCAGAGACAAACAAAAACTTTTTTTAAATTGCTACCTTGAACCTTCCTTTTTCTTGGGACCTTTATGGCCTAGTGGTTATTTTAGCTGACTTCAAGTCACTTGCCTTACACAACTGTGTGTTTGAATCATTTCAGGACCTATGTTTTCTTTCATGTGAAGTGAAGAAGTTATCCAGCTAGCTTACTTAAATTCATTGTGGCCTCCTGAGGTCTTTCTCCACATGTAAAGTCAACATGTGACCTTTACAGTGTTAGTGTACCTGAAAAAAAAATGGAAATATTATTCTGATTTTAAAAGCAATTGATACATTGTGATACTGCACAGTAGAAGTTATTTAAAGCTAGGTAGTATATTGTTTAATTTTCTTTTGATATGCAGACACCACTACCAGAACAAGAAGGACCATCAGAGGGGTCATTTGCTGTGATAGAGGTGTACAGTTCCAGAGAAATGGCATATCATATGACACAATATGACTGGGAACTCTTCACATGCCTACAAGAGGTACACTATATACCATATTGTTCCTACTAACGCCCTGCCCCTTAAAATAGATGATTTATTAGCATGTAAGGATAAACAAAATATACAACACTTTGGAACTTAAAGATTACATACTTAATCAGAACTAAGGTTTATTTAGTAATTTTCTTTTTGAATCATAGATTAAAGAGACAACATTGAGTGAATTTTAATTCCAGCACTTGGGTATGGTGTTAGTAATAAATAACAGTTTTAACCCTATATATTTATTTTCTTTCCTTCTGTTCAGTATGAGTTGATATATCAAGTATTTGGACGCTACAAGTTTGGTAAGGTCACAGCCAACCTTGACTTATTTTTGAAACGTTTTAACGAGATACAGTTTTGGGTTGTCACGGAGATGGTGCTAACCAATAACCTCAGTAAACGCGTGTCCTTGCTGAGAAAATTCATCAAAATAGCTGCTCAGTAAGTGGTAGTTTTGTCATTTTTCAAACTGGCTTATTGTTGACTAGCATGTATTAAGGTGATTATCATCACAGCCTAGATTAGAGTATCTTGATTTCAAACTCATATATGACTTGAGTATATTAAACTAGACTGGGATATCAGGTGGCGATGATTTGTATTATAATTAAATCCATCTCGGCCAAATACTAGGCCAGCATTATCTTTTGGTTGTCAATGTGTAAAGAGAATTTTTTTCTTTTACAATTCGTAATTAATAGCTAATGTTCAATTTGATAAAGTAATAGTACAGTCATGTAGTATGTGCCATACAACTTGGCCATTACCAAATTATTTGTTTATATAAGTAAGTTACCAAAGTCAGAGGAAAATGAATTAAAAAAATGACACGTCAACACCGGTACAGTTTCAGATACAAGTAATTTATTATCTACAAGTTTCAATTCTACAATGAACCTTCATAATCCTATGCTTCATCAGAATGATGAAATAGATTAAAGTTGCATGTTTGAAAAAAAAGTACATATACATGTTAACTTTGTGTTTTTTTACAGCTGTAAAGAGTTTAAGAATTTGAACAGTTTCTTTGCCATTGTGATGGGTCTGAGTAATATTGCTGTCAGCAGATTGTCCCAGACATGGGAGGTAAATCATGCAGTTATTTCTTGATTTTATTGTTGTTGTACTGTACTTAAAACCGTTAAATTGGAAGTATATAGTAGTGTTGCGGGCTTCCTGGTAAGAAATTTATGGTCACTGTGGGTATGAATCCCACCTGGGCTTAGACTTTGTCATTTTTAGCTCGACTATTCGCAGAATAATCAAGCTAATGCAGTCACCCATTTGTCTGTGTCTGCGTCTCGTCCCTGTGGTTAAGTTTTTGCATGTAAGCTGGTATCTCCATAACTACTGAAGGGAATGGATTGAAACTTCACACACTTATTCTCTGTGATTATCTAAGATGATTGGCACAAGTCCCATAACTCTGATTTGCTTTTTTACATAATTATGCCCCTTTTTCGACTTAAAAATTCTTGGTTAAGTTTTTGCGTGTAAGCTGGTATCTCCATAACTACTGAAGGGAATGGAATGAAACTTCACACACTTGTTCTCTGTGATTATCTTAGATGATTGGCACAAGTCCCATAACTCTGATTTGCTTTTTTTACATAATTATGGCCCTTTTTTGACTTAGAAAGTCTTGGTTAAGTTTTTGCTTGTAAGCTGGTATCTCCATAACTACTGAAGGGAATGGATTGAAACTTCACACATTAGTTGTCTGTGATTATTTAAGATGATTGGCAAAGTCCCATAACTCTGATTGGCTTTTTAACATAATTATGCCCCTTTTTGTGTCGCCTCTACGGAGTAGTGGCGACATATAGGGATCACTTCTCCGTCGTCTGTCCGGCCGTCTGTCCATCTGTCCGTCCATCACAAAACTTGTCCGGACTACTCCTCATAAACTACTGGTGCAATTTCATCCAAACTTTACAGGAATGATCAGTACCAAGTCTAGTTGTGCATATTGTCAGCAATCCCGGTTCAATGATTTTTGTCAGAGTTATGGCCCTTTAATAATTTTTATTTTTAAAGTTTGTCCGGACTACTTCTCTTATACCACTAATGCAATTTCAATGAAACTTTACAGGATTGATCTGCAGCTCAAGTCCTCGGTTGAATGAGTTTTTGCCGAGTTATGGCCCTTTGATAAAAAGGTGTTTTTTTCTGTGTGTTGCCAGATACACATAAGCTTGTCCGGACTACTCCTCATAAACTACTGGTGCAATTTTATCCAAACTTTACAGGAATGATCAGTACCAAGTCTAGTTGTGCACTGTCCGTCTGTCTGTTCGTCTGTCACAAAACTTGTCCCAACATGAAATTGGCCATCATTAGGGGACACATTGTGATCACTGATCGCTCTTGTTTGACTTAGAAATTCTTGGTTAAGTTTTTGCGTGTAAGCTGGTATCTCCATAACTACTGAAGGGAATGGATTGAAACTTCACACACTTGTTCTCTGTGATTATCTAAGATGATTGGCACAAGTCCGATAACTCTGATTTGCTTTTTTACATAATTATGCCTCTTTTTCGACTTAGAAATTCTTGGTTAAGTTTTTGCGTGTAAGCTGTATCTCCATAACTACTGAAGGGAATGGATTGAAACTTCACACACTTGTTCTCTGTGATTATCTAAGATGATTGGCACAAGTCCCATAACTCTGATTTGCTTTTTTGCATAATCATGCCCCTTTTTCGACTTAGAAATTCTAGGTTAATTTTTGCTTGTAAGCTGGCATCTCCATAACTACTGAAGGGTTTGTACCTTTTCGGACAATTTTATGTATTCATATAGGTAAGCATTATTATACTTAATGAAACACCCTTGTGACAACTTTTCTAATAGTCGAGCGTTACTGTCCTCTAACAGTTCTTGTTTTATGAGAGGAAGCTATTTAGTTATCTTACAATAGCTAATGGTTCTTCTTTGAAGACTGTTAATAATGCAGGTCAGGGCAATGAAGCTAGAGGGTTGCCATAATGATCTTTTCAGTCTAGGTGTGACTGTACAAAATATATAAATAAACTAAGCCTGGTGTTTTATTTGTAAATTGGACTTATGAAGCTTTGCATTTGGTGCAATTCTTAGCCTGACTTGAGTAAAATACATTTTTTTTTGCACAATTAAAATGATTGTTTATGAAAAAACAACAAAAAACGTAAGCAACTGATCTGAAATTTTGCAAGAAAGGTATTGATCCGCACCTATAACAAATTATACAAATATCTCGGAAAAAAATATTTCAAGTCCTATAATGCCAAAATGAAGGCTCTTGAAAGTTTATTGCAGTGCTTTGAAGTATTATTAAAGACCTTGATAATGGATTTTCTCTACTTTTATCTGATTTTGACATAACATGATAATGATCTTCAGTATTGTATCTATACTTCAGAAACTGCCAAGCAAGTTCAAAAAGATGTTTGCAGATTTTGAGACGTTGATGGACCCTTCTAGGAATCATCGAGTATATAGACTATCTGTAGCCAAAATGTTACCACCAATAATACCATTTATGCCCCTTCTTATGAAAGGTAAATTACTCTTAATATAATTCTCAAAAGGTTCTGAGCACTAAATAATTTAATACAATAACGTTTAAGTGGTTAACCCATACCCAAGTGAGTAGACTTTGCCACCAGTATTGGACAAGGCCAGCTTGCACATCTGTGCCATCTGACCAAGCTCTTTACTGCTGGTAGACCACTTTAAATTTTGTTCTTGATAATGGACAGTTCCAAAAATGGAAGCGAGACAAGTCAATTAAAATATTAGCGGGATAATGGTTTAATAAAGTCATTATAGCTAATTAATTGCTGTATCAGCTTTTGTCAGTAAAATATAGTTTTAATGTTTTTCTCAAACTGGCTTAAATGTACTGGTAAAACAGACCTGCAGTTATTGACATTCATACTTGAGAAGGTTTAAGGATCTTGCTCATATTTTGAGGCCATTGATTCCAGGATAAAGAGAGTTTCTTGACATAAATTTTCAATATGTTTTAAGAGTATGTTTTTGCAGATGTTGTTTTTATACTATAGAGGTTTAGATTGAAGATTGAGGCCAAAAGAAAAGTATTTTCTCTATAATCTATTTCATTAGGTTGGTCATGTTAACACAGGAGTTAAAAAATGAGGTGGCACTAGCATTTTAGGATCCCTGTATCAAGCCTACAGCTTTAATCTTGAAACATCTTGCCATCTTGTGAACATTTCTCATTTATTTATAACTATATTTTCAGACATGACATTTACTCATGAAGGTAATAAGACATACTTTGATGGACTAGTTAACTTTGAAAAAATGGTAAGTGGAGATAAATTGGAGATTTCTGTGATTTTGTTATGTCAAATTTTAGAGTTTTGCCCACAGGGAACTTATAAAGTTGTATACAAATGTTGTAATAGAATATATGTTTAATATAGCATGGGATCACCATAACTTAATTGTTAAGGTTGCTACTTTTTGCAATACTATGATAATTGCTTATTGAATCAGTTATTTAGTTTATACAAATTTATTTTAGTTTGATTGTGTTGGAAGCTATAAGCTTATTGAAACTCTCCTTAATCTGTTCCTGGAACCAACCAGTACTAAGCAATTAATGTAAAGTTTCTTGCTCAAGGAAACAACGGCTTACCCCTGACAGGGTTTGAACCCACGCGGTCAGCAATCCTTAGATTACTAGTCTGACGCGTTAACCACTCAGCCATGCTGCCACTGAGAATCAGTTATTTGTGATCTCTGTTGGAATGTTATCTTATTCTTGACAATGAATAATGTCTTATACATGTATAACTATCAAACAGTAAGTTGATGTGATACCCAGTCTGCCCAGATGTATTTTTGTAAAAAAAATGCATTGAATTTTTTGGTAGAGCTAGATGTTTTCAATTTGACATCTAGATAGTTCCATTGACATTGATTGAGATCTTAGCATTTGTATCAATGATATTATGTATAATATTGTTGTTTTTCCAGCATATGATTGCACAGACATTGAAGACAGTGAGGTTCTGTAGAAGTGCACGACTAGGTAAGATGGTTTTATTGTAATATCGACAATGTTAAAATTTATAACTTAATGCTATCAGCAAATTGCTTTGATTTTAAATTTAAAGCAATATACTGTAGAAAAATATTTCTTTATTACACTTGTTACTATAATTATATAGTTACAAAATTGCCTATGTTTTCAACTGATTATGAGTGTCATGTGACTGATCATAATCAGCCTGCAGAACAAGAGCACGCTCCAAAACTGAAACAATGATGTTATCAAAACTGCTAGCTGGAAAATAAAAGTAGGTTTAAAGCATAGCTTGCTTAAGTTTGGCATGAGAAATCAAAGTTATTGTGAAATTTAAAGAAAAAAAATATGATCAAAATAAAACTAGCCTCTTGATTCTTGTGGACTTTGCATACACGTAAGGGAAACAACTCTATCTAAATTACTGTACAGTACAGAGACTGGAGTTTCAACTACAGAAATATCAAAGTAATTAAAAACAATGCTATTATTATATCAAGTGTATGAAAGACATTAATACATGCCATAGACAGGCCAGAAAGTGGTAATCGGCCCTGAAATGAATAATGCACTGGGGCTGAAGCCTTTGAAGGCCATCATTAATTTTGCGGTCCAAAAAAATTTTCCAGCTTCATCTGCTTTAACCTCTTATTGATATACTTGAAGTCCAGTAATGGTATATACAAGTGTGGCTTTGAATTGTTAAGACCATTTGCAGATCTGTACTCCATTTCGTAAAAAGGTTTCTGAAACTGAAGTGTGATATTGTCATTTTATGGATGCCTACTTGCTGGTCTCAAAACTAAAGTTATTATGGGTGTATGGAGTGAATGTATTCTTGTGAACCTAACATAATTATTTGTTAACTTTAATTTTAAATATGATTATTTCAGAGATTGAGGCACCAGGGACATTGAAGTCTTCAGACACATCAGATTATATACGTGGCCTGAAGGTCATTGACAATCAAAGACTTCTCACACAACTCTCTCACAAACTGGAACCAAGAAAAACTTAACATTCACGTTATTTGTCTTGACCTCTGTGAAACCTGAAATACTTGAGAAGTTTTTTTATGGACATTTTTATTTTCATTTTTACAAACATTTTACTGACATTTCTCTTCATTTTTACAAACATTTTACTGACATTTCTCCAAACATTTAATTGTGAATATTGTAAATTAGTGCAATAATTCAGGTGTCTGATTTTGCTCTGGGAAATGTTTCAAATTTTGTTATTAACATGCTTAGAATTGGTTCACCTAAGGAGTAAATGGTAGTCTTTGGCCATTTGATGAAACATATGTTACCCCCAGTAGAGTAAGAGCACACTATCCTGAATATGGTCCTTTTACCTTTAAAACAATGTCATGACATCATAAGGGATTCTTTTACCCATAGCTTGCTGGTGGCAACAGCTTTTACATGTGCGACCAGTGCAGACCAAGACCTGAGCAGGCACATCTTTGCTGTATGATCATGGTCTGCATTGTTTTGCTATTCAGTCAGTCTGTTTTTTATACTCCCCTAAAACTGAACAATGGTTTTGTCCAGGGTGAAAGATGGATAAGTTCATTTGAGATAATAATTATTTTACTGGGAAGAGTTAAATATATTGAAACAGTGTTAAATAGAGCTCTCTAGCAAAGAAATGTATTATTATTACATTACTGACAATCAATAAATATATCAAGACTATTTTTATAAGGGACCTTAAATGAAAGATTTATTATGAGAGATAGTTATGTTCTTAACCAGAACACAAGTTATCTAGTTTATTGTCAAACTGAGTTGTCTGACAGCATATATAACAATTGATATGTACGGTAGATTTAGAATTGATATATATTGGTTTTTGGAAAAAAATTTATTTTTTTTGTTCAGTTTATTTACTGTTGCAATTTGGGTACCCATATACATTTATGTGTGACACCTCCTAAAGACTTTTTGTCTGAGAAAGCCTTGGAAACTGCAGTTGCCAAATTTCAATGGCAGCACTGGTTGTTTTACATGCCTGGTACAGAGCAAGAATAAATGGGACCTCAACTTTTATGGTTTCTTTAGAAAGACTGTAATTAGTGTTTGTTGGAGTAGGGCGTCAAACCTTTGACCCCAGGCTTACCAAACCAGTGCGATTATTACTGGACCACAGATACTCATTTAACATTAATGTGATCTCACATTTTATGCCCTTTATTAAAATATTTTAAAACCAGTCTCTGATAACAATTAAAAGAAAAAGAAAGAAATTGACCAATGAAAATACAGCATTTATAGACTGGTATCCTATCTGAATATTTTTTTTGAACCCAAAGGAGCATGAAATAATTGGATGGCTATTTGATTCACATATAAAGCTTTCAAGATAGATATACCATGAAAATAGGCACACATTTGTGTGACTAGGTATGGGAAATAAAAGAAAACATGCGGGGACAAGAGATATTTTGTAGGAGTGCAAGTAATCAGATTTATCTGCAAGAAATAATACCATTTTTTTGTCCAATGTTTTCTCAGATGTATTTGAATTTTTGGTTCAACAAATTTCAAATATAATATAGATAAGTTAATCTGTTCAAGTCAGACCCATTTAAATGTTTTGTTTGTTTAAAGAATGTAATTGTGCAATATTTTCATGACATTTATTTTGTGCTATGACTGTTATGTACAGGCTTGTTTCTGTTCAAATATTGTAAAGTATGTTTACTATTTTATCTTTTCTTTACATTGTATTTATATTTAAAATGGCACAATATGATATTTGTTCACTTTTGCTAGCTACAATGTTCTGATATAATATGTTTTTATTGTAGTTAAAGGCCTCTGACCCATGATATATATTATATTGCAGTACATTTGTATAAATATTCATTTACAAAATAAATGAATTTTACATCAAAAATAAGTTAGTCATATACAGTAATTATAGAAACATGATATAATTTTTAATTATTTTAAAATGTCAAAAGTGTAATTTATTATCAGACATATCGATCAGTGTTTTATTAAATATAGTTATTTTAAGAGTATTTTATCTGGAATTTGTAACTGACCAGTGTGTCTTTTGTACTTTTCAAAGACAATTTATCAGTTGTTTAATATATATCCAACATAACATTTGACCATTATTACATGTATTACATCAGCAATTCCATTCTGATTAACACTTGCATGTAGTACAAAATATGAGATTTCCTTTACACAGAAAGAATTGTATGGGCCTTCAATCTTAAACTTGATTTTATGTATGAAACACTTTAAACAAATATGTATGTGTCTGAAATGTTGATCATTTAGTCAATAAAATGACTACATCAATTTGCAATGTTTGTAATATTCCCCCTCCCTTTCTCTTTGATCTTTTTTTTCTCAGGTTATCCAATGGATCTTTACAGTATCATTATTATGTAACACTTTTCTGCACAAATTCCATTAAAAAAAAGCATGTAAAATTAAACATGCATGAAAAACAAAACCTTTGGAAGTGAATTAGTGTTTTATACATAAAATCATGTTTAGAGATTTCTTGACAGGTTGTATAAAGTAAGGATTGTTTGGTATATAATCTGTTATATTTATATTGGGGCCATATAAACTGTCATAAAATCATTATATGTTGCAATGGATATTTCATTGTCTCATTGGTATATATCATATAACTGTTGTACATATTGACAATCAAAAATCATATTTAGCCAACATATTCTTGGATCACCTATAAGTCGGGGTCAATGATAGCTTGTTTGTTTGAGTAAACATTCTCATATGTAAACATTTTGGTAAATAATTGTATGTTTGTTAAATTATTTATCACTTAATAACAATAACAATAAAAAATTCAAAGGGAAAATTTGGGAATAAGAGAATTAATTTAGTAATTTAATGCAAGTTTGAGAAATGTTTTAAAGTTGAAAATGCTGTATTTATTTTGCATGTTATGCTCTTATTGCATTGAAGATTTTCTTTGAAAATTGTCAACATTGAGACTTGTAGAACTGTTTCTTGAAATCTCTACTAAGAATTCTATGTATATGTTAGTGTTTATCCGTGCTGTTCTACAGAAATTAGAAACTTCCACGGGAGCGATAGCGACAGGAGAATGTTTCTAATTTCTGTAGAACAGCTACGGATAAATACTAACATACTTAGTGTCAAGCTTTATTTTGCCTCATTATTATTCACTTAATTACGTCACTACGCGGTTCTATGAAGTACTATGAAAAATAGTAGGCGACTATGAACGGAATTCGATATAGTATCGACTTTTGTTCTTCTATGAAAATTAACGCACAGAATTTTTAAGAAATACAGCGTTTTCATTGGATGACAAATAAAGTTGGACACTAAAAAGATTATTTGTATTTTTGTTTCCGGTATACATAATTATGTCTATAAATTTACCTTTTTAATGTTTGATTTTTCATTTTTGTGTCAAGTTTTTATAGAATATAAATATATTATATCAATTTGCTCAAATTAGTAGATTTTGGACACAAATAAAATGAGAAATAATTTTTTTCAACCATTTGTAATGAAAGCTTACGTTCATACTATGTCTACAAATACTTATTGTTAGAAATTGTAAATAGTCACCAAATAACTAATGATTATTGTTGTGGTTTTAAACCCAAGCAAAATGAATAAATCTAGAGAAATCAATCAATCAATCAATCAATCAAATCAAACAAAATGAATTAATCTAAAGAAATCAATTAATCAATCAAATATTTATATATAGTGCAAATACCCATTGACTTACCAGAAGCTATGAAAAGCATTGTTTCTGAAAATACATGTAATTGTAAATATACATATATATGCTATAGTTAAGTATTGGTGTAAGACTTTCTGTATGAACAGAAGAAATATTTGTTCTTTTTTATCAATATTGAAGTATATCTCAGCAGCCAAAAGGTTAAGAACTCAGCTGAAATGATGCACAAAGGGGCACCATAAGTATACTATCTACCAAATCACCACTTAACCTTGACCTTTACAGTGGCCTTGTGACCTTAAACCCAAGAAAAACAAAAATGATATACTGACATGACTAATATCAAGTATTTTAACATCAAATAATGTGAACAAGAAAATAACTTGACCAAAATATTACAGAATTTCATTTTGCATTAAGATGTACTACTTATTCATATAAAATGTATAATGTATGGCAGAATTTTATTTTGTGTACTAATTCATATAAAAATTATTTTCTTTTTATCTACTGCTTAATATAATTCACATTTTACAAGGAGTAACTGTGAAAAATATAAGATATATCTCATTGACACAAAATTTATATAAGTCTAGTAAACAATACCATTTCCTTATATTGTTTTATTTTTGAAATACAGTGACAATTTATCCTAACCTTTAAGTGCTGGAACCTTGCAGTCTGACCAGGCTCTATACTGTTGGCTGACAAACTTAAAATATTCAAATTGATATCCCTAAAATTGATAATGAACAGTCCCAAAAATGGAATTGGGACAAGTCCATTTAAAATACTCAGCAGGTTAAGGGTTAAGAATTCTGAAAATTCAAATTGTTAAACATAATAATATGATAATAAAATCATCAATAGATTCTTTTATACAAGGCTTTTTATTAAAGAGATGTTTTTGTTTTGTATATATGTATGAGCCGCATCACGACAAAACCAACATAGTGCGTTTGCGACCAGCATGGATCCAGACCAGCCTGCGCATCCGCGCAATCTGATCAGGATCCATGCTGTTTGCTTAACAACCCTTTTACAAGTAGAGAAACACTGATTCTGATCAGACTGCGCGGATGGCTGGTCTGGATCCATGCTGGTCGCAAACGCTCTGTGTTGGTTTTGGCGTAATGTAGCTCATATATGGTATACAGTATATATATATTTGTAAATAAATATATTTCACAGTTCAACAAATGTTTGTAAGGTTGTACAAATTTGTATAAAGATATATTTATATTTATTGTGTATCTGTGATATTTATTATGAAAATTGTACATAATTATAGTTGTGTATGTGAACATATATGTATAGTTGTATATGTAAACATACGTGTAAAGTTCTGTATGTGAACATATACATATAGTTTTGTGAGAGTTGCTTACAGTTGATCTGTTCATTCCGCTGTAAATGTTATCACATTGATGGAGTACATTTCTTAATGATATAATGTTGAAAGTGAATATTAAAGATATTTTATTGAAAATGATTTGTTTTATTTTATTGTATTTTATTTCATTTAATATAATTATTAAGAATTGCCCTCTGTAAAAAATATGTAGGTCTATAAAGACAATAAAGTGTTTATTTTTAGGGAATAATCATTTAAGTACACTGGTAAGTGCTCATCAGTAAGCATTTAAAAAAAAAAACTGTAATAAAGTAGCACATTTTGTTTTTACAAATTAATTTTAGTTTGTGTTGGAAGCTATTAGCTTCTTGAAACACTCTTGAATCTGTTCCTGGAACCAACCAGTACTATTTATAAGCAATGAATGTTAAGTTTCTTCTCAAGAAAGCAACAGCTTGCCCTTGACAGGGTTTTAACCCACGCGGTCACCAATCTTTAGATTTCTCTTGAGATTACTAGTACAACATGTTAACCACTCTGCCACGATGGATCAACCACTCGGCCATGTGAAATTCTGTTACATTTTTTTTTCATTTAACCTTTTCCCAACAGATCAGATTACAAAGTCCATGAGAGTTAAGAGTACTGACTATCTCTATACAAAGCATTCCATCGAACCTGCCAAACCAGTCTCCTCCGGGGGCTTTCAATGTTATAGTGTAACTAAGTTTATTTTATTACACTTTATTCACATATTAATAACCTCAGAGAAATGCTGTGAAGCACCAGCCTTAAACAAGGTAAATCTCCTTTCATATGTCATTTCATTGACCATAAATTAATTTCAAACATAAAGATCATTTTTCATAAAGCTCGAATTATTTATATAACTATACTTATCCGAGACCATCAACCGGACACTTTTTGAACATTTTTCCATGCAAAGTTCACACTATGAAAGCTAGAGATCTGAAAATTTGCCATTGTAGCTAGGTTCTTCTCCTAACTAACAAACTAATTTCTTTATCTCTGATTACGTTGGCATGGAAATAATAGCCGATAATGTAGCCACATAGAAGTAATGGCCAATTGTGGCGGCAATTTTGGAAGTAATAGCTGATAATGTGGCTGCATGGAAGAAATTGCTGTAAAGGCTGGCCTAAATCACCAATTTGAAGTCAGGTGAGCCAGCATACCAAAGTAGTCTAAATAGCTTTTTCTGTAAATAGGTCAGTGTAGCTTACGTCCCTGGGATATAAATACTGAACAGTTCATAATTCAAGTAAAATGAATGCAAATTAAGCAATGTGAAGGGTTAAGTTGCAAATATATTTCTCCAGCATTATTCTGAATTTAAACTTAACCTGCTATATATAAAAAATTGCCCTGCTTTGAAATAGTAACAGTCAATTTCAAGTCTAAGGAATTTCAATAATCAAGATACAAACTTGAAGCTGGCAACAGTATAAAGCTTCCCAGTTAGACAGAGTGGAGTACAGGCTGTCCTGGCCTTGTACTGGTGGTTTAGTCCGATCACTTTCAGGTGCAGCAGGCAGCAGGGTTTGAAGCACTTGATCAATAATTTCTCACAAGTGATCTTGTAAGGGGGACACTTTTGTATTGTGTAAATATAAAAATACAGATAATATAACATACAATAACAACGATCAGCCAACATCTTCCTTCATTAGTTTAAGTTTTGATCATAAGCCAATATTAAACTATCAGTCTGACCTTAAGAAAAACAACAAAATGTACAATGTATATGTAATAGTTGAATTTGAAGTTTAATGAAATAACATTACAATATTATAACATATAAATAGTACTGGACTAATATAATAATAATGCCCGTAATACTGGATATAGTTTATATGAAATCATTGTTGAACATTATTGAGTTAAAACAAAACTCAGTAACAAACAGACTTTATCACGAAAGAAATTCATACAGAAAAAAATGATATGGACAAAAACAGATAATTTTACCTTCAACTTTTTTTTTCTTTTTCACAAACAGTGCAGTATGTAACACAAGTTTGCTTCTACTATCTCACTAAATTTTGTATTTAACAAACATTTCTAACGAATTTACTACAAAGTTTTTAACAACTTAAAAAATGGTATAAATTGTAAATAATGTATTATTATACATTGGCTAAACTAACCCTGGCTTGTGTAATAAATAAACAGTATAACAGTTTTCCCCTGCTTCTGATTTGGAACAGTCAATTTAAAGATCCTGTATGTTGTAAATGAGGTTGTATACCACACATAAGTGAAATTACATATATGTATACAATTATGCTTATACAACAATTTTCAAACATTAAAGAACATGTACAATATGTACTGCAAATATTTGTACATATTATAATTATGTAATCATTAAAATATATGCATTCATTTCTTATTGAAAAAATTTGACTTAGATATTAAAGAAAATAAAGATTTTAGTACCGGCATCCCTTTATTTACATGAAATGTTAAATTCGGTAATATCTTTATAAATAATGCTTTTTGGAACTTACAAAATTGATATATCTTAATTTTAGCATCATATTTATGATATAAAACCATAAAAAAATTGTGTTACAGGATCTTTAAAGTTAAATAGAACTCAATATAGAACACAAAACTTGAGATACATATACCAACAGTATAGATCATGGTCAGACTGCATGGTTGTGTTGGCTCACTTGGTTCTATGCTGAAAAGTTATGTACTTACTATTCTGTTTGTCATAGAAATACTGAAATGTACAAAATGGTGCCTAATGCAAACTAAAAGTAGCTAAACTAACTGAAAAATGTGAAGTATTTTGTATTATTATGATAGTTAACTTTACAGATATTAAGTCTGTATACATATTTTAAAAAAAAATTATGAATATATTAAAATTTGTAAGTCAAGAATAAACAATCTGAAGTGGTTGCCTATCATAGACTTTACAAAGTAGAAGTCGCAGAAAACAATATTTTTACTAGTATGCTTGACTTAGATATTTATGTACAATTAACATAATTTCAGCCATGGCATGACAAAACCAACATTATGCGTTTGCAACCAGCATGGATCCAGACTAGCCTGCGCATCCGCGCAGTCTGATCAGGATCCATGCTGTTCATTGTCAGTTTCTCTACTTGTTATAGGGTTTGTAAGAGAACAGCATGGATCTATGCTGGTCGCAAACGCATTATGTTGGTTTTGTCATGGCTCGGCTCAATTTTGCTTTTAACAAACTACTACAGCTTATTTAAACTTCTACAGCTTATTTGACAATCAAATAACTAATCACAGAAACAAACACTACTATCACAGAAAAAAGAGCAAGTCTTAATTTCCAATGCCGTCTGCTTGAGCGCAACTTTTTGTGTATCTCCAAAACTTGTTTTTTAGTCTGGTCCAAATCACCACTATTGTCAATCACAAATGTTGCCAGACGACATTTTTCATCCAATGACATTTGAGAATTTATTCTCTGCAGAGCCTCATTTTCAGAGAGCTGGTTCCTAGCTTTAAGTCTTTCCAGCTGTTGCTCTGGTTTGCTGAAAGAAAAATGGAAACTGTCAAATCTTTCAGGTAAATGTTCATAACATGGACATACAATAAACAGAACAAAATGTTTATTATATTGAATAATTTTATTATGAATGTATTTTACAGCTCTCCTGTATTTCTGATGAAGGAAAACTCCCAAGTGTCCGATTTGTAAGCATATTTTATTTATTGCACGGAAAAAGCATTTTGGTAAAACCACTTATCTTAAAACTGCTTTCCTTACTCACAACTTAAGATGTCAAGTAAGGTTGTCAGAAAAATGAAGTATTCAAGTTTTGTCCCTGAAATATGTTCCTGTATTGACAAGCTGGCATTAAAGTCTTAAGTTCTAAGTTTAGTTTTTAAAAAATGCCATTTGGAGTTTGTACAAATAATTTAAGTTAAAAAAATATATTTTTTGACAGGTTATATGGCTCAAGAATAAATATAGTACATGTAGTTCCAAGTTTATCCCAAACTGCTAGAGGAACAATCTTTTACACAAGGCTATATTACCTGTAATAAGTCTTCATAAGAAAATTACAATACTGCAATATTGCTAAGGGTCATTAAAGAACAGATTAACAGAAAAAACTTTGCAGCAGTTGTTCCCCAGTATGTATGCAAAATATATGCATTGTATTTGTATATAAAAAAACTTGTTTATTGTCTGTAACAAACATGCAGTATTATAAGTGCAGTTAAACTTTTATATAACAATTATTACAATACAGTATGAATACAGTAAGTTTAACTAACCAGGAGACAACAATGGTGAATGCCATATATGGGACCATTTTATTACTCTCAAACAACAATGGTGTGTCTAATACAGCAAACTGATGACCTGAAATATAAAATGTAACAATTAAATGTGATAAACTCTTAACAAAAATATACAATGCTGAATCTTATTAATTAAGGGAGAGCTAAAGAGTCAGTTTTATTAATTCAACCTAAATGTTGAAAAAAATTCATTAAATATATCTCAAAACTCAAAATGTTTAGGGTTAAAGAATTTGGAACAATGTTAAATGATATTTTATAGTGATCAATGTGGGAATATGGATAAGTCCTTCCAAGAACAATCACTTTCACTAAAATACATGTATCTCTATTGTACATTATAAGTACAAAAAAGTGCAATTTAAAGTGTTTACTGGAAGTTTATCAACCTAAGGGACATTACCCAGGGTTTGTCAATTTCAATTTATCATCATGTGTTATCTCCCATGTACCATAGAGGTGCATCAGCAAATAAGAAAAAACACTCCTGAGTAACATTAACAATCCCTCTGTAATATTGTTGACTGTGTCTCAGCATTTATGAACATATTGCAAAAATAATTCATTATATTACTTAATTCAATATCACTCCATAGATACATTGACATGATACCACACCAACATACATTATGTATCTACACCTTAAAAACCACTCCCAAATGACCACCTAAATGCTGATACTTAGCGCAAAATGCAAGAAAAGACCTTAACCCTAAGTCAGCAGATTTGAATTTAGCAATGCAACCAGTGCAGACAAAGATCAGCTGTCAGATCTGTGCCTAGTCCAACTAACTGTTATATCTTTTAAGATATCGTGCTACATGTATTTTGTTAGCCTGAGTTCCAGTCTGTTGATTTTTTGTTATGTTTCTGATTGGCAAATCGACATTGATACTATCAAAACGACGAACGAATACGGAATATTAAGCGCATATGTTTTTATAAAAAAATAAAGTTTTATAAATTAAGCAAAGAAGCTATCAATTGGATAATCTAAAGGCAGTATTTTGTGTATTGAAATGTACAATAATTTTCTCCTGTACCAGGTCTGAGCAAGAAACATATATCTCAGAACTAAACTTTGCAATGCCAGTAAATATTTGACAAATGCTGTTGACTTAAATCTTAATTTATTCAGTCAGTTACATGATATTTTGAAATTTTACTTTAAAATAAGAATGTTTGCACATTGACAGATGGTTAGCAATTGTTAAGAGTTAAATAGAAGCCATCATTAAAAATTACTGTTTTAATGTATTTAATTGTAGATTCTACATAACAAATCTTATGTAATATTAAATTTATAATATAGATTCAATTAATATTGTCACAAAGGCTAAGCAATAAATGAAGGACTAAGTATCAAATACTCGTATATATTCGCAAAGTTTCCTTAAACATACGAAGATATAGATCTATTACTTACATACTGCAATGCTAGTGAAATATGTGACAAAATGATGTACATTACAATCTCAATTATAAACATCATTGTGTACATATATATTAAGAAACCTGGAACATGAAATACATGTTATTTAAACTAAGAAACAATTATACCTTTAATAAACAGCATGAAAAGTTTCCACATCATAGTTTTCTGTATCTCAGGGTGGGTGATTCTGTTAAGTGCCGTCCTTTTACTGCTGTCGGCAAATATAATCTGACCAAGTTTTTCCCGATTTAGTTGTCCATTTTCATGAAATACATCTTGTCCGAATGTTTGTTGGATTTTCTTCCAAGCTTTAGTTCCAGGTTCAACAACTAAAAAGATAATATTCCAGGTTCAACAACTATAAAATAAATCAGACTCTTCTTTTTGAAGAAATTTCATTTTTTAAATTTCAAATGATATATTTTTAAGCTACATGTAGTCAGGAGTAAAAGGCTTTAACAATAATAGCAAATTGTTGTACGAGGGTAACCAAAATGTGCAGCCTGGGTTAGGGTTCAAAAATAGATTCTTGAAATAGTCTACTATTCTTCTGATGCATTTTTCTTCTGGAAAAAATAAACAACAACAAAAAACCCAACAAACAACAACCCTCATAATTGGCGAAATTGCTACTGAAATAAAGAGAGAATTATGTGAAATGTCACAGTAGCTGTATCTACATGTACACTGTATCAGAGACCTAGATAACATTAATAATTATCTATGCCTCTGACTGTTACTTTATTATGTAGTGTCAGTGTACATGTACTTAAAACTTTGAATAATATTAGTCATACATTGTAAATAAGAAAATAACTACAAATTAATGTGCATGCAATTATATTTACTGCTAAAATTTGTCTACAAGTTAAGTTCTATAGCAAAAATTGATGTTTAACAGTGGCATTACGTTACTAAAAGTTTAATTCTACATTTATGCAGTAATTAATGTAACGTTACTGATGCACACTGTTTTCAAATGATTTTTATAACAAATCAAGAACCTAAAAGGTGAATAATTATAATTTCTAATTCATGAATGATAATAAAAGGAAATGTTTGATCTCTATAAACATGAATAACTTATCTAACAAATGAGTTGAATAAATGTGACAACTTAAAGTGCCTCGGTAGTTTAAATGAAGCTAGAAAAACGAGCAAATGGTATATACATGTAGCTGTGCAGTAAATTGTACATGTAGGGCAAAACATAAGCTAGTTTTTTACCTTGTCTTGCTATAACATCAGCATCAATTATTGGGCATCCTAAATCAGCTAACATCTGTGATACAGTTGATTTTCCAGTGGCTATCCCGCCTGTTAAACCAACAATAAACATTGCTAAACTCTTTAAAACAGTTAAAAGTTACAATGGAACAAAATGAAAGTGAAAGTAGATTTTGGCACGGTATAAAACGCGGACGCATTTTAGGAGGAAACGGATCATCTAGACCATCTGTATATTTAGATCATACAGGTGTTTTCTTAATGTCGGTTTATCCTTAATGATCCTGTATGTCGTAATAAAGGAGTGTAACAACACTTAAGTGAAATTTTATATATGAATATAATTATTATTGTTCTAAAACGATTTTGAAACATCAGATACATCAGGGGAATGCCAGAAGGGGGGGGGGGGGGTAAAGGGGGGCGGCAGTCGACTTGTGAGAGGCTAAAATGACCCCCAGATCGATCATAAGGTAATGTGTAACCAGCATTGTAAAGCATTTGACTCTAACTCAATCCATTGAGAAGTTGCAGCACTTTGAAATCAATTTTGATGGAAAAAATCAACGCAAAATAGTTATTTTTGGCAATTGTGATATGTCCCCTCGTTGCCATGGTAACAGGAAATTTAAGCCTGAGCATGTTGGTGCAAAGGCAATGGTCCAGTCAACATTTGTGCCAAATTTGATTAGTATTGAATCAGTTTTGATAGTTTAATAGCAATTTGAACTTGTAACGGGAGACTTTTCAATGAAAACAACCATTTTTCACAAAATGCTCATGAAGTAATGGGTTAAATATGTACTGCAAATGTTTAAAAGCATTATATGTAATCATTAAAATATATGCATTAATTTCTTATTGAAAAACTTGGCTTAGACTTTATGAAAATGAATTTCTAATTAAGGCGCCAACGTCAACAAATCTAACACATCTTTCTTCATCTATGTCACCATAGTCAAGCAATGAAATATTATTCATGAATTTCAGCTAATTTCAGCAGATCTTGATGAAGAGCCGATGCAAATATTTCTATCAAATCACGTAATTTCCTTTTTAAGCATATAATTTATATAACTGGTCGTCTTTTGATACATTTATGACAAATGTAGATGAACATTTCATGTATTCCGAAAGTCTTTCTTCAGCGAAATAAAACGGCCTGTATAAGGTGCTTAAAATGATCTTTGCAAACATCATTAAATACTAAGAACTTCTTAAAGTAGAAACAAAGAAATCTTAAAAAAAACTTAGTCTATTCATAGTGTAGATCATGAACAAATTTACCCCTAAGTTTTGCTTTTGAAATATTATTTCACTCGGACAGTCAATGACATTCTATTGTAACAGTAATAAATGACGTGAATTTCTTACGTTAAATATAAACTAGACAGTTAAATATCGCTGTCCTCATACTTGATTTAATATTAAGTTAAAAAGTTTCTAGTTGTATAACATTTACTATTTTTCGCTTGGTCATCTATTCTTTACTTAAAGTGAAGAATATAACTCTTTCCTATTTGTTAATTATATATGTATTTATTTACATGTTTTTTGTAATGTCTGTAGTTACAAATGTTACCTTGACGAAATTAAAGAATATTGTATTGTATTGATAATAACTAAATACATATTCCCAAATGTTACTGCGAATTGTAATAAGAAATCAAATATCCATAATGTCGCACCCATTGAAATCAGGTGTTGAAACAGATTATCACACCCATATATTTACGAAAAGTCAGTTTCAGCCTATGCTCTCATTAACAAAGCTCGTTGGTGTTAAATAGCAGTGTAAACTCAATGGTTACTTCAAAAGATTTGCAATGTAGATTTGTGATGGTATTGTTAAATTAAAACCCTTCTTAAGTACATTGGCATGAGCCACTGTCCCCAGAATTCCTAAAATTATGATTACATAATCAATAAAGTGAATATTATGCATTTTCTTACAGCTGATGTAAGCAATGGGGAATTCTAAAGACGAAGGCATTGAGTTATATGATATAGAAAGTTTGCTGAAGAATGGATCAATACAAATAGAGGAAATGTGTATTTAAAAAGTGCCCTTACAAAGTCTACTACAACTTGCAAAAACGAATTTTGGAATTTTCTCACTGAATAGATTGCATATGCATGTTTATTTTCCAAATTAAGAACTCTAGAATGCTAAAAAAAATTTAGTGTTTCTTTGAATTTTAGTTCAACAATGTTTGCTTAAACAGTTGCGACAATAAGTAACTTGTGCATGAGCGGCACATGCAAAAACTGAACAACTAAAACCAAATGCAAACCAGATTTTGCAACCATTTTAAGGAACAAGTCAGTGTAACTGGAAAACATAACTGTATTGAATGTGGAAGCATAACTGTTTTCCTGTAAACATTTATATGCTTAATAACCAAAAGAGTTTGAGAATTTGCGTGTCTTGTGAAGCAGCATTGCACATGTGTACACAGAAACTGACCGAGGTTAAGCTACCCTGGCCGAGTGGTAAAGGTTAAAATATTACCTGAAATAATATACTGAGGAAAACCTAAGGTCTTCCTGACAAGTCACCATATAACTATATTGTTTTGGCGCGTGGTATAAACCAAACATTACTAAAAATAAAAAGATTTTAGTATGAAACAATAATGTTACTATTTTGGTAGGAAATTGAGTGTGTAAAAGGGGGTACATTTTTGCATGAAGTTTTGCACAGATGCAGTGTTCTTTATCATCATGGTCATTAGAGATGTCAGAGTTAGAGCTGCAATAAATCATGCGTCATTGGCAACTTCCCCTTGGAGTGAATTTTGGGTTGCATGCTTATTATCAGTCTTTTCATTTTATTAATGTCTTTATAGGTGAAAAAGAAACAAGCAACAAGGAAGAAGAAAATCGCCTATACAGTATGTCCTTAATCATACATAGAATGAATCAGAGTTGGCATAAAATCTGACTAAGTCATTTACTAAGTTATTTCTTGCATGTAGATCTGATTGCCACCATAGTTTATAGTGTCAGCAATATATATCTTTGTTACAATTATTTCGTATTGTATTGACATGTATTTTGAATGGGTTGAAGTATTTTTGGGTTGTAAAGGGGTCCTAGGGGTAGTACCCTGGGGGCAGGGCTTGGTCACACGCCGATAATCTGTGATAGGCATTATACGAAGCATCAAAATATCGTTGTCCATGGAAGTAATACAAAATTGCTGATTTTTGAAAGAAAAATATGTTTGAAGTAATCTGAAAGAAATAAACTAGAAGTAATACACTTGATTTTTAATAGACAATATTGTTTTGCCAGTTTATATGCCGGCTATATGGACAACGCCTATATAAATCATGAAAATTACCTAGTAGTATTGGATTTTCCAGCGGTTAAAATTTTAAATTTTAAATTCATGGAGGTTAATGATGTCGATAAATATGCAACATTACTCCTATATTTATTAAAACAAAACCAAAATACAACGCACTATAAATTTTATAGTACAAAGGGCCATTTTTTTATATTTTTGTTAATATATTTGATAGAATTATTGTGAGTATACGTACTAAAGAAAAATTAAAGAAATCTTAACATTATTTTTAAATTATTTTTTTTAGCAAAATTTCCATTTTGGTGTACTTCACCTTAGTATGGATATTCAAGTCAATATTTTTATTAAATATAATTAAAAATCCATTTTCTATGGCAACGTGCATTTCAATGCATCACTAGAGTAACTATTTTGTTGTTATACAATATATTGACTTTAAGTTCTACATAAACAGTTACAAATATCACCGCTTTCATATCTGCTTAAAGTTTCATCATCTTAGATTGAGTATAGCTAAATCGTGTATTCTACTGTAATTATTATAATTTAGTTGATTGTCCACCAAATTGTTATGGACAACGATACCTCTTGGGAGCTCCCTCTATCATTAATTTGATGTATTATTAGTGGCTGTCGAATGACCTTTGTTACTAACATACACTGATTTGCTGTATTGTTCTTGTTGTGATAATTTGATTTGTTCGTTTGAACTGACAAGATTAAATTGTTTATACATTATATGTAAATGTTTTTACGTGATTGAAAAAAAAAGAAAAACAATGTAAACTTTGAATAACGTCAAAATGCCAAATTTCGCAAATTCAGTTTGAGTGAGCCTGTTTATAGACAGTAGCTCTTCTTGATAAGTGCTTTTTCATAAGAGAATTCAACATTTAGACAGTGTGAAAATGTTTTTTATAATTTAGAAACATCCGCATATGTGTGCACATAACCCCTAATACAATGCACTTTAATCACGATACAAATTTCAGTAATTATCAAACAGTAATTAACGTAGAATAAAATATACTACTAGTTTGTCAACAAAAATATGTACTTTACTTATCTTCCTTTAAGTTAGAGCTCCACTTAATGATCTTGGCCTTTAACATTTTTACATAAATTTAGAAGCAATTGTAAAATTAAAGCTAATACTTTCCATTTATCGCTTATTGATATCAACTCAGTTTGCATATATACAAATACAGGAGCAAAAACATTATGTAAATAAAACATACAAAGTCACAATGATGAACAGCATGCAATATCTCAGAGGATAACTTAAATCATCCAAGTTCACAACAGTTAATGACGTTGACAGACTACAATAATTGTATGTGAGAGGTCATTATATTTTAAAACTTTCTTTGTAATTATAAGTTAAAGGGACTTCAGTGAAGTTATTTTGACATGATGGGTCTAGATATAGATTTTCGAGATTGATATTCTATTTGACGTAGATAAAGAACAACAACTTGTTTGCAAAATTTCAGATCATTCGCTCTCTCCGTTCTTTTGTAATAATTATTCTAATTTTGAAAAATGACCCGAAACTGAAATGCGTTTCAAACAAGTTTCAAATAGTTAACATGATTTTCAATTTATTTCCTTGTATATTTCTTAATTACCTTTTGCATGTTTTTGTTTTCAGTGTTCTAGCTGATACATGTAATGAAAACAAATTTGTTGTTTTTAGGCTTTTGGAGATCAGTGGATGTCCTTTAAGATTTACTTGATAAAACTATTATTACAGTTTTCTCCCAATGCCATTATGGCGTACTCTCATTGAAATTTAATCATGCTTTAAAACCATATGTTTATCATTAAGAGCTTTCTTAAATATGTATTTATTTAATACACAAGTAAAGAAAAAAACTGTGCTAGCAGTTGAAAGGAGTTTGGCTTTAGTGTTTTTGTTACTTTACTCCCCTTATTGTGGCTATAACAGTTTTCAAAATTATTTTGGTTTTTCATTGCCTATTTACAGTATGTGTGACATCTCCAGAGTTACACATGCTCTGTACTTCATTTTAGTGGTTGTATGTTGTTGACCCCTTCAGGATCGCCAGTCCTCCAAAAAGAAAACAGTTTAAACAATTCTGAGAGCTAAGGAACATACACTGTTCAACAAACAATCACCTGTGGTGAATAGACAAACCCAAACATACTGTATTCTATTCTGATTTCATTGCTCATAATGGATCACCTTTTCTGAATTGTTTGACGGCATATCACAAGTGAAAACAAGTTTCTACTCCTTCTAACAATTATTGACTTTCGAGTTCGTGTTGCTTGTCATTATTTAGCAGGTTTTTATGCCCAATTTTGCACGTTCGGCAGAAATGTAACAGGCATGCGAGATTTTATGAAAGTTATTGGATAAACAATAACTACAGTCGAAATCTCTCAAGCGACAATTATTGGAGACTGTGTAGTGACATGGAAAAATCTTGCACCACTGAAAAACAATTCTGACGCAAGATATTTGCATCAGTTGTTCTTAATATGATCCCTTGACAATTGACTTGATGTATTGAAAACTATAATTGGCGTATTTGTTTGGAATATTAGCATGGTGAACGAAGACATGATCCATTGGCGTCATGATATATGGATATATTTAAAATGTTTATCAACAATATTATTGACCATTAAATGACTTACATTATACTAAATGATATATTATGTGATTTAGTTAACGTATGTCTATATCAAAAATGTTTTATATCAATTTATGACAGAAATATAACGCCAACTGATATGAAAAGGTTACCTGACCTGTTAGTAGGGATTTTGATACTTTTTGGAATCCTTGCACGAGGTGAGTTGCGCTTGTAATTAGTATATTTAGTAAAATAATGATGATATCTTTTAAAAATAGTTTACACATTAGGTAAAAGGAATAAAGGTGTTTATTTAGAGATTTTGTTTACATTTCTTTTCTAACATGTTTATCATTCACACGATGGTGTGTTTTACTACAGATTTAGTATATTTTACACTTGAAGCTGTTGACGTTTAAGAGGACAATGACATTTTCATATTTACTTGAAAACGATAACATTTATACAGGACTTTTTGTCTTTTCATACATATACATGTTTATCAATATTGATATAGAAACTTGTTTTTATTTATTTTATCTTTTTTATATATTTGTTTATATATTATGCAGGATTATGTTTGCAATGTTGGAAGTGCATTTCGGATGACTGTGATACGGATCCTAAACTTAATATACATGCAGTAAAAGTAGAATGTAAATATGGAGAACAATGTATGGTAATAACATAGCTTTAGTTAACTACTACATAAATATATCAGGAACTGAAGCCGATTTTCAATAATTGTTTTCACTTTATTCCCGTGAAAATTGACATTTTTACCATTTGACATTATGCTCAATTGTTCATTTTTTATTGTCAAGTTGAGATGAATTGGCTATATATTTTAAAAGAGTGACGGTTCAAAAGCAAATGGAAAATGTTTATGATAAAAAATAAATCTGCATTAAAGATAAAAAGAATGCCCCACTCTAAAAATCCAACTAAAAATCCCAACGGATATTTACAAAAAATACATTGGCTCATGTGTATAATTTATCGTATATGCAAAATAAATGATCAAATTGAAAGGAATTATGACAAATGGAAAACTTATTTTGACTCTCTCACTATATAACCTTAGCATAATGTCCGTTAAAGTAGCATTTTAAGTAACTCAATACTTGTCATTGTATTATTCACATTTCGTACATTGTTTTATTGTTAAAGATAATCTTAATACCGATCGAGTGAAAACCAGTTATGACTTTTGTGTTTGAAAGTTGATCTTTATTAATTTGATAGCTGTTATAATAATTATATTGATAATTTTATTTTCAGAAGGTACGTTATAAGATGTTTGACAATGTTACACATTATGATACTGTTATACGAACGTGTACGCAAAATAAATGTGTAACTTCATCACGTGACGAGTTTCTAAAATGTCTATCAACACCAAGACTGTATATGATTGATGGATGCTCTTTACGTTCATGTTGTAGAGACAGAGATTTGTGTAACTCAGGATGGAGTCCATCTTTGATGCCATTAATCTGTGTGACTTTATTTGTGCTTCATACATTACTGTTGACATAATTTGAAACAGTGTTAGGATTTATTTGTCTTTACGCTGATCCATAATTCATTATCATTAAATACTTTTTCCCCACAAGCTTTTTCCGCTTCAAATATCAATTTTAACATTTTATTGGCTTCCAATTTTTCAAATATACTTATCAATTCAATTGATACAGTATGTATGTTTTCTTATTATAATGACGACATTGTATGGTGATATGTTTAATAAAATGTTCTGTTAAATCATTTTTGTGTGTTTTCATCTGCTTTTTTTTTTAATATTCGTTATTTTAACCAATTTATATTTTTACTTCAGTTTATAAATCTATTTTATCATTCTTTCTATATTAGATTATAATCGCTATTATGTATTGTATGATATTATTTATATGAGTTTAGAGTATTGTTTAGGGAGTTTTCAACTTAAATTATGGTTCACATTTTCATGATATATTGGTCATGTTAAATATCTAATATATCTCCATATGTTTAAACGTATCGGGCTGCCGACGAATGACTATGCATTATACTTTAAAAGACTGTATTACATCCAAAATGTAAGGAATGAAACAATACGGATAAAAATAGCGAGAAAAAAAAGAATGAAACGATGCCTTTTCCTGTTTACATTGCAATTGTTTATTAACAAAACTGTTATAATAATTGAAGAGAAATATATATATTAAAATATTGTTGCTGTTGTATCGTAAATAATTACATGTATCATAAAATATCTTTGAAGGTAATATTCATAAAACTAGTTTTTAGAGACATAAGAATAAAAACGCACGGTAACACAAATACACTTTGACCTTGGCATTGAAATGCAAGACATAATTTTACTTGTATTATTTACAGGCATTACTTGCTTTGTTCCCACACATTAAAATTGGTATATGAACTATTAAAATGTTTATCATTATCTTGTATAATTTAAAGATCTGTTACAAACTTAAGTAATTTGATGATTTTCTTTGTCAGTATTAATTGTATACTAAAAGATGTAGTAGTTTTTGAGAATGCCAGCTGTACATAATTAAGTTTATGATCTTTTTTCAACAAGAGTTTTATTGACTGACATTTAAATACAAATTGTGAAGCACTGACAAAATAAAAAGCGAAAGAATACTTATTCTCTCATAGCATGGGATTTCTATTTTCACCACAGTTTATAATCATGAACAAATTTACTTTTGAAATATTATTTCACTCAGACTATCATTGACAGTCAATGACATTCTATAGTAACAGTATATAAATAACACATGGGTTTGTGGGTAACAGTAAAAAAATATCATCCCGAGGAAAGTACTGTTACCCAATCTACCAGTCATAAACATACAATAAGCTGTGTTTTATTAAGAAAACAAAACACTAACCCATTTATAAGGTTATGATCTGTGAAATCTGTTCCTTCTGTATCCAGAATATTCTTCGCATGGTTTTTGACAAAGTGCATTTACAAAATAACGATGATATCATATAGATGTCTGTCCAACAACTCTATCTGTAACGTTTCACTGCTTAAAAGTGTTAAATAACCCTTTGTTGCATGATTTAATCATCTGCATATTCAAGTTTGACACAAAATTATTCACATTACAATTACTTCCGTTGAAAACGGATGTTTACTTTTTGACTATTCAACAAAAAGATATTTTAGACGCGAAAAGAACTCTATGGTGCAAAGAACTAAATTTTATGAGAGTCAAAATTACTTTATTGATGCCCTAGGCCCTATCATCGAAAATAAGAATGAATCGAGAGAAAAATGGCGGCCATTTAATTTAATTTTATTTAGAAAATAGACCACATGACCAGATTTTGTACTGTTAAAAAATACTGTTACCTATGTAACAGTACAAAATTCTTAGTCACGTGGTACACTTGCATTAACAGTAAGAATAACACCCAGAGGCCTATGGGAAATTAACATTACGTAAAAAGTGAGGGGTAATAATAATAAATAGCGTGAATTTCTAGAACGGATCAATACAAATAGAGGAAAATGTGTATTTAAAAAGTGCCCTTTCAAACTCTACTACAACTAAAAAACTGAAAATATTGGAATTTTCTCAATGAATAGATTGCATGTTTTTTATTCAAATTAAGCACTCTACAATGCTAGAAAAGTTAGTCTTTCTTCGAATTTTAGTGCATATATCTTTGCTTAAACATTTGCAACAATAAGTTACTTGTGCATGAGCGGCACATGCAAAAACTGAGTCACAAAACCAAATGCAAACCAGATTTTGCAACCATTTTAAAAGTAATTTGTAATCGATGTACAACGGAACAAGTCAGTTACTGTTGCAAACATAACTTTATTGAATGTGGAAGCACAATTTTCCTTTCACATTTATATGCTAGGTAACATGATAAAAGACAGTATTGTTTTTAACCAAAAGAGATTGAAAATGTGCGTGTCTTGTGAAGCAGCTTTGCACCTGTGTGTGAGGTTAAGCTACCGTGGCCGAGTGGTTAAGGTTAAAATAATGCATGAAATACGAGAAATATACTGAGAAAAACCTGAGGTCTTCCTCCACCGGTACAGCTAGCAAGTCACCATTAAACATATTTTGCGTGGCATAAACCAAATAATGATAAAAATAAAAAGATTTTAGTACGAAACAATTATGTAACAATTTTGATAGTAAATTGTGTGTGCATAGAGAAAAAAGCTAGCATATGTTAAAAATGGGGGGACTTGTTTGCATGAAGTTTTGCACAGATGCAGTCTTCTTTATAATCACGGTCATTTAAGATGTCAGAGTAGAGCTGCAATAAAATATGCATCATTGTCAACTTCACATGGAAGTGATCGAATTTAGGTTTGCATGCTTATTAGCAGTCTTTTTATCTTATAAATGTCTTTTAAAGGTGAAAAAGAAACAAGAAGCAAGAAAGAAGAAAATCACCTTCACAATATGTCCTTACTCTTACATAGAATGAATAAGGGTTGGCATCTGCTTAGTTTATTTCTTCCATGTAGATCTGATTGCCACCGTAGTTTATAGTGTCAGTAATATATAGTTTTGTTACAATTGTTTCGTATTGTATTGACATTTATTTTGAATGGGTTAAGGTATATTTGGGTAGTAAAGGGAGTCCTAGGGGTTGAACCCTGGGGGTAGGGCTTGGTACAACGCCGATAATCTGTGATAGTCATTAGACGAAATATCAAAAAATCGTTGTTCGTGGAAGTAAAACAAATTGCCGATTTTTGTAAAAAATATGTTTGAAATTATCTGAAAGAAATAAACTGGAAATTATACACTCGATTTTTAATGGACAATATTGTTTTGTCAGTTTATCTGCCGGCTATTAGGACAACGCCATATTTGTTCTCGAAATCGTGAAAATTAACTACGCAGTGCGGTAAATATTAGAAACCGCATGTTTTTTTTTAAAAAAAGATGATTGGCTGTTTCACAGGTCACGACAAGGTGACAACCTATTGGTCGTCGTCATATCCTTATGCGTTTATAAGGAGCTAATTTAAATCAGATTGGGTTGGCATTTTACATGTAAAATGAAAAAAAAATTGAAACCTTATATAGCACAGGATCAGTTTTAGCCTGTTAATTCATGGAGGATAACGATGTCGATAAATATGCAAAAATACTCCTATATCAAAACAACACCCAAATACAACGCTCTATAAATTTTATAGTGCAAAAGGCTATATTTCTGTTAATATCAATTATTTGATAGAATTATTGTGAGTATACGTACTTAAGAAAATCAACACAATCTTTACCTTTTTTTAATTTTATTTTTTTAGCAAACTTTCCATTTTGGTGTCATTCACCTAAGTATGGATATTCAAGTCAATCATTTTATTTAATATTAAAAAATTCATCATTTTGGTATCAATGGGCATTCCAATGCATCACCAGATTATTTTGTTGCTATGCAATATATTGACGTATAAAAGTGAGGAAAGTTGTTCATGTGTCACTTTTAGTTCTACATAAATAGTTACAAATATCATCGTTGTCGGACCTGCATGCATAATCTGAGATTCAATATAACTAAAACGTGTATTCTACTGTAATTATTATAATTTAGTTGATTGTCCGCCAAATTGATATGGACAACGATACCTCTTGGGAGCGCCCTCTATCATTAGTTTGATGTATTGTTAGTGGCTGTAGAATGACCCTTTGTTACTAACAGACACTGATTAGCTGTATTGTTCTTGTTGTGATAATTTGATTTATACGTTTCAACTGACAAGAATAAATTGGTTATACGTAATTTGAAAATGTATTTCATTATTTTGACAAACTCGAAATTTTTGGAAAAAGAAAAACAATGGAAAATTCGAATAACGTCTGAATGCCAAAATTAGCAAATTCTGTTTGAGTGAGCCTGTTTATAGACAGTGGTGATAAATGCAATATCGTAGGAGAATTCAAGAAAGTGGTGAACGTTTTAATGTAGAATGTTTATAATTTAGAAACATCCGCAGACATGTGCACATTACTACAAATTTTGTTAGTCAATTTATGAAACCGTTATTAAAGTAGTATTGAATATACTATATGAACAAAAATACGTACTCTACTTATCTTCCTTTGAGTTAGAACTCCACTTGATGATGTTGGCCTTTTACATTTTTACATAAATTGAGAAGCAATTGTTACATTAAAACTATCACTTTCCAAGTTTTCAACAGTTAATGCCGTTGACAGACGATATTAAGTGTATGTAAAAGGTTGTTATATTTTGAATCTTTCTTTGTTATTATATTAACTTAAATGAATTCCAGTAAGTTTCAGCAGAAAGTTAACAGGCATGCCAGATCTAATGAAATTTATTGGATAAACAATGACTACAGTCGAAATCTCTCAAGAGACAATTATTGGAGACTGTTTAGTGACATGGAAAAATCTTGCACCACTGAAAAACGATTATGACGCAAGATATTTGCATCAGTTGTTCTTAATATGATCCCTGGACTATTGACTCGATCTATGGAAAACTATAATTGGCAGTGAACGGATGTGTATTTGTTTTGAATATTAGCATGGTGAACGCAGACATGATCCCTTGCCATCTTGATATATGGATATATTTACAATGTTTATCAACAAGGTTATTGAACGTTGCATAGAAGGATTAAATGATTTACATTATACTAAAGGATATATTATTTGATTTGGTTAACGTATGTCTATATCAAAAATGTTTTATATCAATCTATGACAGAAATATAAGCCAACTGATATGAAAAGGTTACCCGACCTGTTAGTAGGAATTTTGATATTTTTTGGAATTCTTGCACGAGGTGAGTTGTCCTTGAAATCAGTATATTTAGTAAAATGGGAAGTTTATTTTTTATGTAAAAAAAGAAAAATTGTTCAAAATGTAGCATGCCTGTTTAATCAAAATAAATATAAAAATCACAAACACGATTAATTTTCATGGAAGAAAATGAAATTTTGTCAAAAGTATATTTACATAGATAAAGCATAGTACAAATGATGATATCTTTTAAAAAATATTTTACTCATGAGGTAAAAGGAATAAACTTGTTTATTTAGGGATTTTGTTTACGTTTCTTTTCTAACATGTTTATCATTCACACGATGGTGTGTTTTTCTATAGATTTAGTATATTTTAACACTTGAAGTTGTTGACTTTTAAGAGGACAATGACATTTTCCATATTTACTTGAAAACGATAACATTTATACAGGACTTTTTGTCTTTTCATACACATATGTCAATATTGATCATTAATATAGAAACATGTTTTTAATTATTTTATCTTTTCATATATATGTAAATATATTATACAGGATTATGTTTGCAATGCTGGAAGTGTATTTCGGATGACTGTGATACGGATCCTAAACTCAATATAAATGCAGTAAAAGTAGAATGTAAATATGGAGAACAATGTATGGTAATAACATAGCTTTAGTTAACTACTCTTACATCAATATAAGCGTAACTGAAGCCAATGTTCAATTATTGTTATCACTTTATTCCCGTGAAAATACACATTTTTACCATTTAAAGTGACATTATGCTCATTTTCATTGTCTCGTTGAGCTGAATTGGCTATATATTTTAAACGATTGCTGACTGACCAGCAGTTGATAATGGAAAATGTTTATGATAAAATATAAATCTGCATTAAAGATAAAAAGAACGACCCACTATTTTTGTCAACTAAAACGTTCAGGTAAAACCCAACGGATATTTACAAAACTTACGTTGGCTCATACGAGTTATTTATCGTATATGCAAAGTAAATAATCAATTTGAAAAGAATTATGGCCTAAATACATAATGTCACTTTAAGTACCATTGTAAGTCAATATTTAAAATTGTATTATTTACATTTCTTACATTTTTATCCCAATTTCTGTCAGATAAAATGAGTAGCAATTGATATCAATCGTAACTTATTGTTTTGTATATTTCTTATTATTGTTTAAGGTAATCTTAATACAGATCGAGTGAAAACCAGTTATATGATTGAAAGTTGATCTTTATTAATTTGATAACTGTAGAGATAATTGTAGTTATAATTCTTTTTTCAGAAGGTACGTTACAAGATGTTTGACAATGTTACACATTATGATACTGTTATACGAACATGTAAGCAAAATAAATGTATAACTTCATCACGTGACGAGTTTCTCAAATGTCTATCAACACCAAGACTATATATGATTGATGGATGCTCTTTACGTTCATGTTGTAGAGACAGAGACTTGTGTAACTCAGGATGGAGTCCATCTTTGATGCCACTAATCTGTGTGAATTTAGTTGTGCTTCATAGATTACCATTGACATAATTTGAAACAGTTTGAAATCATTAATTTGTTCTTACGCTGATCCAGAATTCATTATCATTAAATACCCACAAGCATTTTCTGCTTAAAACATCAATTTTAACATTTTATTGGCTACCAATTGTTCACATAGACTTATCAATTAAATTGATACAGTATGTATGTTATCTTATCATTACGACGACATTGTATTGTGTTATATTTAATATGATCTTTTTATTAAAAATGTTTTTGTGTGTTTTCATATGGAATGTGTTATTGACTGGCCTTGACATTTGACATGTATTTTGAAGCGCTCACAACATAAATGGCAAAATAATACTAATTATTTCATAGTATGGGATTCACCCCAGTTTATGACGTTGGGTCATCATTATATATTGCTTAATTTGTTATGTATTTAATTACATTTTATGTTGCGGATGCCAAAGCTAATAAACTATCAGCTTAAAATTATTTATTACTCGTAATTGAAGAATTTTCTATAATTTAATCATTTATATACAGGTATAGAAATAAATTTCTAACTAGTGAATGGAACATTATCAAACATGGCATGATTAAAGTGGTTTATAATAAAAACATATTTTGAAAAACAAATAGAACATTTCCTTCTCGAAAAATATATCGATACACACAAATATTTCATACATTTTTTATCAATGAAAAAAGTGCATTACAAATGTATTCATAGAATTAATGTACGATAAAATTTCCATTAAAATAAAAAGAAAAACTTAAAACAAACTCCATATTGCAAAGCTGAAAGGTTCAGGCCTTAGTTTGATTGAGATTGTAATGAACGGTAGTGGTTCAAGCTACTGATAAAACTCAAAATCCCTAATACCGACTTAAGCAGAATTCAACATTTAATTAGAATGCAGTAAAACGAAAAATTAAGCAACAACCACACATATGTTAATACGCCGGTTTAACCATGTAATATTTATTATTACATGTTCTTGCATTACACAGAAAATGACGCTTGGTTTTTGTTACTTAAAGGAAGCGTTTGCCCTGATCACGTTAACAATTTGCATAAATGAAGATATATCAAATACAAAAGACTATAAACACAGTATAGTTACCAATTCTTTTCGTATTTGTTATTGAGGAGACAGAGACTATATGATGAGATCAATAAATATACCGTAACTGATATCTACAAAGGTCATACGAGAGTACAGAAATACAAGAAACAAGTAATTCATAGCTCTCCGGCTTTATGCTTCTGTGTCAGTTTGTATTTGGTTAAGAATGACATTAACTGTTAGCCTTAAAAGGAATCTTAAATGACGAAAGTTAAGCGAATTGGTAAAAGATACAAAAAAGATTCGTGTATCACATCGTATCTTAAAGATATCTGAGTTGATCATTGACCAATTGTCACTGATACATGCATTGTATGTTAAAAAGTGACACTCTATCATTGAATATCACTCATTCATGATAATTCTTGTTGTTTTCCAATCTCGGGCCTCTTTCTTGTAGCTTGCCAGAACATGCGTTGTATGAAGTACCAAAGTCTAAATATGCTATCGAATGAGGGAAATCATAACCCATCCACTCTATGCACCTTCATGTGGCATTTGACTCAATTAATTCAGTTTCTTTCCTTGTTTGTATGATCATAAAGGTATTTTTCTTTTTTGCGAATTAAATATCATGTGTTTATTTATTGACAAATGTTTGTATGTGTTTGTATAATATCCATAATAAATATTATGGAGAAAAATACCTGTTAATTTGTGAACCGCCATAGCGTTTCTTTTAAAGCAGTTGTGCATTTCCAATAAACTTATTTAATCATACTCATTATAACGTCTGCTGTAACGCCATGAGTTAATGGGTTACTCTTCAGAACCTTATTCTATCATTAATAACTTTAATTGCTTAATCTTAATGTAATGACAACATTGACAATGGTATCGTTAAAATCTTTACCTTTAACCTTAAAACGAATGCAAATAAGAATGTCTTTTCTGAAGGCGCCCGCTGCCTAGTGGTTTTGGTGTCTGTCTCTCAACACAAGGATAATGGTTTCAAGTTCTATCAAGGGCACAGTTATGTTACCTCGTAACTACCGGTTAGTTGCAAAAGGCTTGTCTGATTTGGTTCCAATAAACTTCAAACATTCTTAACAATTGAGCTGAGACCAAAAATGCTTAAAATGGTATTATTGCTCAAATTTGGATGGATAAGCCAATACCGGTATTAGTCAATGTATAAAATAATATTTATTTTTTTTAATGTTCTCATAAAGAACTTGTTTTGTTCTCATCAACAAACAAATACAATTGGTATGATATGCAATGTGTAAGTGATAACCCTTCTTCCAAATGTTTAACAATATCTTATAAAACGTTGAAAATTTGTCATGTTTTGGTGCTTATTTCATATGTTGTAAATTAAATACATATAAAAACAGAACAACATTTAATCGGCTTAATCCATTATTTTATCATATTTTTAAAGATGCATGCAATTTTGTTATTGTCACCGTTACATGAGCAAGTTTTCAAATAGCTTGATACGAGAGTGTCATTGAATGACCTTAGCATTTGTAATGAAACATTAAAAGCGACTGTGTATGTAATATTTCACAGCATGGGATATTTATTCACCCCGGGTTATGACGTTGCCAATCTGTGTGAAAGGTCATTATACAGTGGTGCAACTGTTATACTAGCATTTTGCATGTACATTTGTATTTCTTACTAAAAGAAATACAATTTATGTTGCGGATTTCACATTCAAACATATCAGGTTCACATTAATCATGTTATTTAGGCACGTCATTGAGATTTCTGGAATGTGAATCCATCTAAAAATGTTTTGAAAAAATATTCACAAATCAGACAAAATCATGCATGTATTTTATTGTCAATATATACTTACATAGTATGAATCAGGGATGACATTCAATCTTACTAAAGTTATTTATTGCATGTAGATCTGATTGCAACCGTATTTGTTTCGCCTTCATTGTAATTCGGATTTCCCGAGAAAGTTGCTTTTAGCCATGCAATAAAACCGTCATTTATAGATAGGCATAAGCCGAAATATCAAAATATCGTTGTTCGTGGATGCATTGTAACAAACTGATGAGTTTTGTAAGAAAAATGTTTGAAGTAATTTGAAAAAAATAAACTGGAAATAAGAAACTCAATTTTTATGGACAATATTGTTTTGCTCGAAATCGTGAAAACAACCTACTCAGTATTGGTTTTTCCAACGATTAAAGTATAAACCACAACACTTTCAAAGACACAGTGACATTCTATTGGTGGTCGTCAGATTCTAACTCGTTAATTAGGAGTTGATTTAAATAAGATTGGGTTAGCATTTTACATGTAAAATGAAAAATAAAGAAACTTTATATAGCACCCACAATGAGAAGGATCAGTTTTAGTCTGTTCATTACGGCTTACATGCAAAAATACCCTTATATAAAAAACCATATTACAAAGGGCTATATTTTGATATTTTT